CGGGTGTGATTGACTAACCAGTCCAACCAGATTAACTGATCAGAATCTGTTTGAAACGTGGCTGGTTACACATAAAAATGAAGAGAAATCTACATAAAGGATTGAGAAGCAGTGTGGACTCTTACAGAATCAACAATCAAAGCATCAAACTATGACTTATTTTGGGTAAAATAAGTTACATATTTTGTTCTGAATGTTTATTTTTGTCACATTTTGAGGGACACATGCTACTGTAATTGGAAGGTCTTAAGTCTGAACTGAGGTTTTTTTCATGCTCTTTGGTCTGTTCCCATACATTTGGATTTGAACAGAATGTAAAATGGACTGGTTGGTCAGATAAAGTTGATTCCCACTTAGACCAAGTTCTGTGTCCTTAAGCAAGACACTTCACCTGCCTTGCCTAGTATGAAAGTGGTGTATGTGAGGGAAAGGTGGCGGTCAGAAGGGCATCCTCACTTCAGTCTACCCCAGGGCAGCTGTACCTACAATGAATTATAACTATAGTGTGTATAGTGTTTTTCTTATTAGTAACTTACCACATAACTAATATTAAATATGATATGTAATATTTTTCTATATGTAAGTGTATTGTAGAAGATTACATTAGAAGACATTCTGGGCCAACAACTATATGCGTTTTTGTAACATTCGTTTATCGGCCTAAGCCTGGACTGGATCTGATCCCATGCTGCCACTCCTTTTTCAATTTTGCGACATGACACAAGCTTTTTGCCTATTCACAGACCCAGAGCAATTTTTCACAAACTTCAACAACAACAATGCTAGTATCTGAACAATACTTCATAAATCCTGTACAACTCCCTCAGACACACTGGCTCACCCCCACAGATGAGAGGAGAGCCTCCCTCACCACCACACCACATGTCTGAAATTAATGTGCACATAATGTGATAGGAGTTCATAGATCCAGTTATCTTGTGGTTACCTCATTCTTGTGTAATCGAGTTGTATGGTCTGCAGCTGGCTCTGGGTTACATCCATTAAACTCATATCATTTGGCCATTACTGGTGTTAAACTAGAGGTGAGGCACAGTTTGGGTGATGGATGATGTTGGGGTGAGTCTCTATATTACATGCACAGAGAACTCAGAGTGTGCTGAACCACCAAATTCAAGAGGCCAAAGGGGTCAAAGAACGAATAGTTGCTGATGGAGGTTACGAGACATTCAGGGGCGTTAACGTCTCGTAGCCCTCCACTGGCACCAACACTTGTAAAACACTTTGCAGCTCTAATTGACAATAAAATGGCTATCATACATAATCACACTTTTGGCAGACAAAGATCAGCGGCATCTCATTTATGTTGAGCATTTGCCTTTCAGACATGCTAGGAACTGAGTTACTCTCAAGTTATTTGCTCTCCGCCGCACAAATAAACACACTGAAGCTCGTAGCAGACCAAAACAAAATAAAAATAACATAGTCAGGCCATAGAATGTGGAGTACACATCCAAACGCATACTTATTTTCCTATCTCTTTCTTACCCAGTGTAGTTGAATGCTTTGCCAAGCCTGCACCTATATGTAATTGGACTGCATTTACATGCTGCAGACTTTTGAGTATGAATCAGCTTCTCCAGATGTGATATTGAGATCTGGGAGAATTGAACCAGGACATCTCAATTGTAGAATTGAGTATTTTAAGTATTTTAAGTCAGTTTAAATTGGACTAGAACAGTTATCTAGTTTTCCTCATGCATGTATGTAAATGCACTAACTGCATTGCTTATACCATTTTTATTGAGAGGACCTTTGTATGTATAAAATAAACAAAACTCAACTGTATGACAAAAATAAGAACAAAATTCCCTTATAATAATCATGACTGAATTTAAAATTTCGATACAAATACAAAGCGTTATTAGGTGCTATAACTAAAACTTCAAAAGGATCAATTCATTAAAATATTATCTACACTTGCCAGAATATTGTTAACATTGGAGAAGAATGGTGGAAGTGGATAGCCTTGGTGTACTGATAAGAAAACAGATGTGGTCTCATGTTCTTTACTGAGTTTATTCTTACAGATTAAGAGGACTGTGGTGGAATTTCAAACAAGCTTTTCTCTGGCTGTCTCAGATAGTCTCTCCTCAGAGTATTCAGGATTAATTGGGATGCACAAAATCGAAATCTGAGTTTACGTAATTATTACTTCGCAAATGCTGCAATTATTTGGGTAATCAAAGTCCTCTATAAAGAAAACATATAAAGAAACATCTTACTGGGCTGAAGAATTTGAGAAAAAGATCTAATTGTGGTTTGTCTGATAGCGATTAGTATTGCTATTAGATTTGCAATTTATGTTTTGATATAGGATTCTCTTCAAAGACAAAAAGGCTGAAATATGAACTGACAGAATACAAGAATCACATTTCAGAACAGCAGCTCCTGTACTTGACACTTTCATAAACATGTTCTCAAATGTCTGGCATTCTTGTTTTAGTTCATATTGGCTTCTATTTCAGTCTTCTCTGAGATGTTACGCTACAGGAGTTGTTAAAATGTCAACAGAATCCTACTTTTTAAACATTCACTACTAGTCAAAAGTTTGGACACATCTTCAGTTCAATGTTTTTTCTATATGATTACTGCTTTCTACATTCTACATACAGAAGACATCAAATATATGAAGTAAGATGTATGGAATTATAAGAGGTATTTAACTTTTTTTCTATGCTAAATAAGTCCATATATCTTGCTTTATTTATTTGATGTGTTCTGTACAGAAAGTAGTAAGAAAAACTGAATTAAAACATGAATGAGAGAGTGTGTCCAAACTAGTAGCATATATCACAAATCTTATCACAATACTTGTCAGAAAAATAGTAATTCTGCCTTAAGAGACAGCATGTTGCATTTCCCTGACCAGCTCTTTGCCCCTAAGGCCAGAGTTGGGTGTTAGAATGAGCCCTTGTTGTGTAGGGGCCGAGCCCTCAGAGCAGGCCTTGTCCTGACACTGCTGCTGCGGCTGGAGCCATCTTTAATGCCCATTATTAATCAATGCACAGGAAATCACCTCTGACTGCAGCCATTAGCCCCCCTGTGGCCCCTGTGGCCCTGTGGCCCCTGAGCTGACGTGCTTCTGTGGAATGTAGGACAAGAACAACACTGCAACTCTATGTATTTTATAATGTCTTTTACTTTTACCAGAAAAGTTACATGGTTACATCTTTTAGAGCAGAATGAATACTGATAAATCCTTTTGACGCTCTCCAATGAGGTACATATGTTAGTGATGATGGATGTACAGTAAAATGGCTTAACCCTGTGTGAGTGCGTATGTGCATGTAAGGGCTGTAGCCTCTGACCTCTGACCCCACACGTATCTCGTATCCGTAGAAACCAGGCTCTGGTTCACAGCTGTGGAAGCACAACCTCCCCGGGCCAGATGTGAACAAAACCAAACTAAGACTGGACTATATCTGGATTTACACATTCCTTTGTATTTATGCTAATTGTCAGCCACTTTTACGTCAACATTTTTTTATCTTGTTAAGGTTGTGTGAAACCAGCAGATTACAATTTTAGAGGAATGTAATAGTGTTTTTCTCTATTCCAGTAGCAATTTTTGAAAAACAAGACTCAGTTTGCAGTGCACATTTTAAACATGTTTAGGACAAGAATCACATGCTTTTCATAACATGTTTGCGTAGAAGGTTGACCAAAAAAATCTAGATCCTAATCAATACTAGAATGAGTATCAAGACTAGATACTCATTTCAGTAGGTATGACCACTGAAAACAATACAAAATTAGAAACTGGACCATTCCTAAATAGCTTTAGAATACTTGGAATACTTTATATTGTGTTGAAAATTCCATTCTAAATCTATTGTCTATAAAATACGTCATAAATTAAAAATCAGTATTGTTCCTCACTTACCTCACGCATTCAGAGCATCCTAATTATTCACCACGAGTATATAAGCACTCACAGGCCAGAGTGGACTTGCAACTTGCATGCTAACTGTGAACTTGCAGATTCTCTGACAAAAGATGCTTTATAATTAGAAGCAGAGTGTTTATAAACTTATTCTGACTTCAAAATACAAGACTTTTAGGTACCGTTACAAGACTATTGGTATAGAGGTCCAAAATGCATAATTCTAACATTACCACAACTTATGATTTATTGAATAGTTCACATATCTATTTCTCATTGTAGATACTAACTAATGACCACAGTATTTCTTTGTGGTATAAAAACAGCCTGTGGTTTGTATAGTTAACATGCTTTGGGGTCATTATGTGAGTAGTCAGTTTTATAAAGTTGTCTTCTACAGCCCGTCATGCACAATTATAAATACTTTTTCTGTGTACATGAAGGAGGCGGGGTCATCCTGAGTGTGGACAATTGGGTGGTGCCAGCTCCGGGGCCGTGTGGAATGGGGCCAGGGCTCATTAGCAGCCTCTCAGGGCCCCTCCTGTACGGGCCCCTCCTCTGGGACAGATTATGCCACATGCTTTTGTTGGTAGTGTACCTCTTATTGAGCTGACCCACATGAGTTCAGCCAGGACACTGTGCCTCTGTGGTACGGTCAACCTGCTATGCCAGCGTGTAGGATAAGAATTTTGGAGTAAAGATATTCAAATGTGTAAAAGTTTATGGATAAAAAACACTCCTAGCTCTTAACATATTATTTTATGCTATGCTATTATTATGCTAGTCCATTACCTGCCATTAAAAGTATGTCATATTTCTGGTGTGTGCTACATGCTTGTCTCATGGAGTTATAATGTGTATTGCTTTTGCCTAAAAATTCCTTGAAAACATGCACACTTACTGTGAGTGGGTTCACCTCTCCACAGAGCTTACCGGTAACTTGACCTGGTGATGTTACTCGCTTATCCCAATGTAGATACTGTACATTTTTAAGTGTTATACAGTGAACTATACATAAAGTTGGTTTTAAAAAGGCAAATGATGTTAAAGTATTTCTTGGTGGGACAGCTTTTTCAACATGTCTTCTTGTTTTCAGATCCGTTGTGCTGTAACTATGCCCCTGAATACTCCTCTTGTAAAGAGGCTTGTGATCAGGTACGTAACCCTGGTCTCCTCTCCTCCACTTCGCTCATGCTCCTTATGGTTCACAACATTTTGGGTTCAGTTTGGAACCCTCTGACGACTCCAGGTCTGTTTAAGAAAGTAGACTTAAAATGAGGGTTTACTAAATGACCACATGTGCCAGTTAAAGGCATGAGCAAGTTATAATCAGCACAGTCTGTCCCACCCTCTAAATGAAGGCTCTGGAAGTCACTAATAATACATTATCTGACAACATTACCAGAGGTGGAAGGTTTGGAAAGGTCTGGAAAGTACTTATATATCTTTTTTTTTTAAGAGATGATTTGACTAACCCAAATACTGATTTCTAGTGATTATATAATATTTTCTGAGTGTTTCATCACGTGTCTTCATTATTCAGTACTCAGAGTGCTAACTTGTGCTGTGTTTGCAGCTTGCCACCATAAAGAGTGAGTCCCGTCTGAAGCACCTGCTACAGAGGCTGCCCAGCTATTGCTCTGAGTCCATGGTGAGTGCACACATTCACCTCTCCTCTTCCCAGGTTTAACACATGATGTAATAGTGGTTTAGAGCGCTAGGTCTGTGGTTCTGTGCTTGATGTAGTTTCTGTGAAAAGTCACAGAGCTGCATTAACTATTGACGTTGAATATTGTGATAACACATTTTTTATAAATTGACCTATACTTGAGCTGACATTCTGGAACTACTCTTGCCTTGCACAGCAAGACAAGTTCCCATGACATTTGTGAGTTCTTCTGAGAAATCCGATAAACAGTTAATCCAAAATAGTATTCGAAATACTTATTATTAGTAAATGTATTTTGTTACTTTCCAACAGTATTTAGCAGAAATATGGACCTAAGTTTTGATCAATGAGAAAGATGAAAGAATTTCCTCTCACCCGGATTATGCGAAAGTTTTCCTGATCACTTTCAGTGATAGAGATCCTACTGTTAATGTGTAGAACTGGTCTCAATAGTGCTACACAAATAGCACATTGGCATCTACCAGGGTAAAACTGATCCATGGAGATTGATTTCTTTGGATCAGAAGAAGCAGTACCTAATTTTTGCATTGGTGACAGTGTATCCCTAATTCTTGCACATAGCAAGTTCTGTTAAATAATAAAATATTTTTTTGTTTATCAGTCAAACTGTCAAAACTGAACCAGAACCAAAACACTGCATTACATCCTGTGTCTCCCTGAGCCCCGTGCTTACCCTGTTGTGGTGTATATGAATGTATCTGACTTCCATTAGCCACAGAGCGGGCGGAGCTGCCGTGGTGGGACCAGGTGCCACTTTATTCTGTAACCACCAAACCACTTCCTCTGCCCCTAATGAGAGAGCTTCTATCAGAGCCACAACAGGAAGTGAGCGGCCCCCTCACCACACAGCACACGGGGAGGGCATGGGCAAGGAGTTTAGCTATGCTCCATAGCTCCTCTGCCCTGGGTTCACTCACAGCCAGACCAAAACAAACCCGCTATTTACTTTCCCAGTGAAGTTACGTAACAGCTGTGGTTCAAAAATAGCTATAGTATTAACATTTTGTATGATAGGTTTAAATGACAGTTTTTGTTTTCTGTGCAGACTGAACTGTGGACTTGTGTCAACTCAACACTACCAGGTACAAATGTGTCTTTTTTATTACTGGTTTCTTACTTTCCACTTACATTTATAATAACAAATTATGCAGCTATAAAACGCAAGTACTTTATCCTAACTCAAGTTAACAATATCTTGGATACTGGTGAATAGTAGTAGTTATATCCTTCAACTTAGCAGTACATTGTTGTAGAACTATCTTGATCTGAGTAATGCAGATTTATGTATTCCTCTCTGAATTTTTGTATCCTAGAGTGCACTAGTATATATTTGAGTTCTGCTTCATAAAACTGCTTTATCTCCATTCCTTACATTCACTGTGTCTCAAACTATATTACTCAAAATCCAGCATCAGCTTAAACCCACTTTAAATATCTTTTGATTTGATCCAACCACCTCTGCACCATGACAGAGAGGATTTATTGCACTGAGAAAATGTACTTTGAATGTGCTTTCTGCAGGAGTGTCCAGGAAGTCCGAGGGCTGGGTGGGCTTAGGTTGCTGCGAGCTGGCCATCTCTGCTGAGTGTAGACGCAAGTGTGAACAGGTGAGTCCTTCTGTGTACCTGTACTTTTATATAACTCTACATGTCATTCTCTGTACATCATTCTCCCCTGTGCTCCTGTGCAGGCTTCATCCAAGAGTGACATAACTAAAGTCTGCAAAAAGGTCACTGAGGTACGCACACTCACCTACACTTTCACTTATTTTTCATTTTAGAATGTTTTATGTGTTTCAATTTGTGGTTTATATGTATTTTCTCCTTTCAGAAACCACTGTACGGCTGCATCACCAAAAATGAAAGTATGTTGTCATTCTTCTTACACTAAAACATGGTTACAGTAAATAAATCAACAAAGAAATTATGCATTTCAATATTGCTTGTAGATTGCTAAAATATGTTTATGAGTTATAACTTAAAGGTTCACTCTAACCTTTCTGGTGGTGGGTCTGTCTTCTGTCTCAATGGAGATGTTACTTTGCTTGAAATATTTCACATTATGGCATTATTTGGCAGGGTGGGGGGACACTGTTTCAATGGAGACAGCCTGGGTAAGTTACAGGTCAGATCTGTGCAGATGTGATGCCTCTCACTGTAAAAATTATTATTTTGTGTTCATTTTTGAGCAATAAAAATCTCTGAAATAAATGTGAGATAGATCAGTTTAATGACATACTGTGGAACATTCCTTGCAATAACATCTCTATGGAGAGAGACATACCAGAAAAATTGCATATTGCACTTAAAATTTGGACGTTAATGTTTGCTGGTGAAGTTTCAAGAAAGAAAAAAGTTAAGAAACCTGTTACATCCAGTCACACGTGCATTGACTCGGGTACGACTTTGAGTTAAAAATTTCTTGCTCAAGGACATGGCAGCATTGTGTACATGGGCAGAGCTTGATGTGGCTACCTTCTGATAATTAGATCTCCATTAAGACTAATATTTTTCTGAATGGATGGAAATTTGGGTATTCCCTCTTAGCTTGCACCTATAGTTTTGTTGATTGTTGTGCTGCGATGGGTGCAGTTGGTTCCACGTGCTGCAGTTACGCGGGTCGCCACACCATCTGCCGTGAGTACTGCCAGGCCATCTTCAGGACGGACTCCACCCTGACCGCGTCTCAGATCAATGCCGTGAAGGACTACTGCCAGAGCCACAGCAGCCAGCTCCTCAACTGTGTCAACAACTTCACCAAGTCCTACCCCATCCGCAGCCCCCTGGACAGTGAGCTCCGCACCACACACACAACAAAACATCACCCATTTAGCTACATTTCAAACATAGCCCTAGCTTTAACCAACCTGCTCTTTATGGCTTTAAATGTAACCTCGTAATCACATTTATTTTCACAGCATAAAATTTTACAGCGGTATTTTCATTATCTCAGTTACTTCATTTAGTGGAGACTTTTTTTTTTAAGGTTGTGGGGTCATTTCATTCATTTCATTTCAGAATTTGACTTCATCTGGTTTATTAAAAATAGGATATCATAATTAAACAAGAATTTACTGTTCACACTTTGCCAAGATTGTTGCATCACAGGTAAAATTTCTGACATCTCCTACACAGTTTTAAGGTCCATAATCCATTACTGGACTTGGTTTATGTTTCCTAACTGAGCGGTTCACTTTATTTTCTGATTGTTCATTCTTGTTGCCAAAAGCAGGGAGCTCCAATCTCAAAATGCCTCATTGGAAACGGAGATGTAGTTGATAAAGTGTGTTTTCAAATGCAGACAAATAATATGTAATCTTTAAATGCATATTACTGGGAGAAAAAATATGACTACATGGTTCGATATATGGCATTTTTTTATTAGATATTATAAAATTATGAAAAAATAATTGCCCCCATCACCATATTCTCCACTCTGAACTCCCCTCTTCGCCCCTCCAGGCCTGTACTGCTGTGATCGAGCCGAGCAGAGCCACTGTCAGGTGGCATGCCGTCGGATCCTTCGCACCATGAACACGGAGCACGAGATCATGGAGGGTCTCATTGATGAGTGTGGCTCCCAGCCCCTCCCCCAGGACCCTCTGTGGCAGTGCTTCCTAGGCAGTGCTCATCCCCCCTCCCCACCTGAAGAAGAGACCCCACACCCCGCCAAGATGGACCAGGCCAAACTGCACTGCTGCGCCAAAGCCAACACCTCCCTGTGCAGGTGCCAATCACATCACATCCAATTTACATAGGCTGTACTGTAACTATGTACTATGTGACTTTTCTCGTGGTGAATACGCCACCTGCTTCTTTCCATGGTGATGTTGTTTGCTTTGCCTGTAATTCCATAGCAGAGCATAAAAATAAATATATAGACCATGCATTGATTTAATTACAGGTGTTTTAATTGAAAAATACCTTCAAACGTCTGCATTCTTACTGTGATTTTACCTGCAAATTGGCCTGGTGCTGTAAAATTGGGTTGGATAAATTTAATTCCTGCTATACTTTTTCATAAGCTGGATCTTTGGCCTGAGCGGCTTTGTCAAACTCCTTTTGCAAACTACTTAATCTTGTGTTGTTGTGAGTGCACCTCCCGGCCTTGACCATTTTACGCATATCCTGACACTCTATCTCTCTCCTCTTTTCACGCTACATGCTCCTGTCCAATAAAGCCTCTAGGGTAGAAAATAAATTAAAAGAAACTGGCTTGTCATGCCATAATGTGGAACACTCTGGGCAGAGCAATGACATCTCCATGGAGACCTGAACGTTGCGGACCATCCACTTGAGATGTCTCATGCTGCACCTTTATTCACTTAATTAAAAAACAATTAGTCTGGAATCTGATGAATTAAACTAAAGGAAAAACTGCAAAGATTTTAGAGACCGCATTATCTGATTTATAAGGATTCAAGCCTGTATGTATAACATTTTGTGTCAAGATGTAAAATAAACTGCTTTTGTCCCCCGTAGAGAGATGTGTGAGGAGATGAGCACAAACTGGGGATCTCAGACGTGGCAGGACTTTGACCAGCTGTGTGAGTACAACCCTGTGGAGGCCGAGCTCATCAGCTGCCTTTCTGATGTGAGAGAGCCCTGCCAACTGGGCTGCAAGGACCTGGGCTACTGCACCAACTTCAACAACAGGTGACCCCATGGCATTGCTCAGTACACACAGCAATAAAGGTGTGGTTAAAGGGGGCATAGACTTAAAGGTGTGAAATACATTAGATAACATAGCAGAGCATATGAGTCTAATATTATGCTTATCTATGCTAAAAATGTACTTCATAGTAGTCGTGTTATCTGTTTTCTTGTCAAATACATAGTGGAAATTATGTTTAGTATAATATCTACATGTTTGAGATATCCAGTGTATTTGGCCTTGTCCTTAGCTTAAATGCTCTGTCCCCCTCATGACGTCATTCGGTGGTTAACTTACAAGTTTATTTGTTTAGAACAATGCATCTTACTGTAGTGGGCATACATGAGATATACAACATGTTTCATAGTTTCCATCCGCGATCCCACATTCACTCTCACAAACACGCTTAATCATGCACCAGCATTCATGGAGACTAAAGGCAGTGTCTGTGAAGTGTCTTGCCCAAGGACACAACCAAAGGATTCAAACCACTGACCTTAGGGTTGGTCGATGAGCGTTCTAACTATTGCGGTGTCCCATCCCAGCACTAACCAGGACCAACCCAAAGATCAGAAAAGATTGGGCATTCTTGGGCCTTGAACATTTCTGCAGCTGGCATTCATGTGGCTGGTGTGGCTAAAGTGTTTTGCTCAGTGACACAACAATTACGGTACACTTGTTTACGTTTAGTCATCATACTCATCACACGAGCTAGGGCTTAGTTCATGATCTAGTACAGCCTATTTTAGTCCTCTTTTAAAACAACTGCAAGTCTCATGTTCCCATTATTTTTTGGAAACCCGTAAGTTCCATCGTGACCTTACCATCAAACTCTAACCACGGGAGAAACTTATATCTGGAGTGGCTTCAGACGACAGAGCTGGGGACGGGAACATTCCACTGCTAACATGCTAATAAATAAACATACTCATAATAGCAGTATACCAGCGTGTATGTGATAGCCCCGCGGAGCCCTGAGGAGTTCAAAGTTGTGTTGTGAAGACTGGAGCAGCAGGGGCCACTAACAGGGGCCACAGGGGCCGGGGCCACACTGTCCTCTCTGTGGGCAGAGGACAAACTCAAGTCTCATCTATTGTATGTTATTAGTATTAGGGTATTAGACAATACAATTTCATTTAGATATGATGGGAAAATACATATATATATAAATATATTTTAAATGAAAAAGGAGGTCAATAATAATTCATGTTACAGTTTGTGCAGAAAAAAAACGGATCTTCTAGATCAGGGGTGTCAAACTCATTTTGGTCCAGGGGCCGTATCCAACCTAGTTTGATCCCAAAGTGGCCGGATCAGAAAACTCATGGCATATAAACCCCAAAAATAACAATAAGTTCAAATATTTGTGCAGAGAAACACAAATCAATATTACAGACATCTTTTTTAATTGATGAACTCTTTCTTATTATATTATAATATTGTGAACAACCTGAAACTTTAAGAAAAATTCAATTTCAACACAATGTTTTAACATGAACTTGTATGCAAATAGGAATAAGTCAATTTTTCTTTTAAAATCCTGCGCTCGGCGTCCACTTTTCTCATTTTGGACATTTTGTTGATGAGGGTGTCACGGTCAACAGTCAAAACGATCGTCCTTTAAGAGCGTTTGGAAAGAGACAAGTCTTCATTTGTGCTGCTCTGGTTGGAGGGGCCACGCAGAGGCTCTGGAGAAGATGCTATGCTAAGCACTGCAGAAAATTACCAATATTTTAATAGAAAATATAATTAAAATATTTTAGTAGAAAATCACCCAAGGGCCACATTAAAGGTCTTGGAGGGCCAGATCTGGCCCCCAGGCCTTATGTTTGACACCTGTGTTCTAGATCATTTTTTTCTTCACTTCACACTATCCATCCATCGATTTTCTTCCCATTATCCGGGGCTGGTTCATGGGGGCAGCAGTCTAAGCAGGGATTCCCAGACTTCCTTCATTCCGTACACTTCACACTAACAAAATACATATAATATTGTTTAATATGGAACTTGCTCGTAATAGGTTTGTCAAAAGTATCAAAAATTTGATTATAATCAATACTAAAACTAGGATCAAAACTAGAAACTCATTTGAGCAGGTATTGACAGTAAATGTGTGTTTCAAAACACAATGGAGGACTATCTTTATTAAAGGCATCACAGCACAAGGTGGAACTAAATGTTTTCCAGTTTAGTGAAGAACTCAGTCTAAATATCTTGGGTTTCTGTGTTAACCATATGTGACTGAACCAAAATAAAACTCTCATGTTTTAGATGAGGAAACAACATTATAACATAGATCAGGAAATAGTGTAATATGGGACTTTTAATGTTGAAAATCACATTCTATTGTCTAAAGAAAGAGTGTTTTTTATTATCCTCATTGTATTGAAATCGGCACTGAGTATCAAGTCCTTATTCCTTAGTATCAAAACTGATTTTGAAATTTCAGTATCATGGCAACACTAGGTCTATGTAGTTTCTTCCATTCTGCCCATTTTGTCCCAACAAAATAATGCACATTAGACTTAGCTGCTTAACTGACTGCAGTGAAAGTGATAACATGTGAGCCTGTCTATTGAGTCACTGCTTTGTGTTAAATGACTATGGACTGAGTGAGCTCCTGATGAGTCACATTAGACGGGCCCAGCGCTGGATAAACAAGTCCTCCATAACCACGGGGACACACCCAGAGCTCCAGCCCAAATCTGTCATCACTGGCCACAGCTGCTGCACCAGAACACCACTGCTGGAACACTTTGTCTTGTTTTCAACTGAAATGAATAGCCACATTGGTTAGATTTCTTTCGTATGAGTAGTTCTGGCTAGTTTAATTTAATAGGTCTGACATTTGGAAATATCTTGAGCTAGGCCAACCTATACTGAAAGAACTATTATGGCTATAAATGTAATACAACTAACTAGGAATTAAAATAATATCAAATTAAGATTCATGTTTGAACACCTTTGTATTTCCTGTAGTGTAACTTAAGATAATGTTTGTGTTTGTTGTGAAGAATTGCGAAATTCTAAACATTTGCCGTACAGTTACATGGCTAAAAAAGCAGTCAATTAAAAGAACATGTACTGCTGCCAAATTTGTACTTAAGTAAAAATAAAACTGTTTGCATGAAAAATACCTATTTCGATCAGCCTTTTATACCTAACGTGGTAAATTAAAATGTTTTTAAAACCATTTTGTGCTGCAACTCAGTCAGTCGTATGATTTCAAATATAGTTACTGTTAAAAAGCCTGACTTTGGGATACCCCAGGTTAAGAGAGAGAACCAAACTGGCTAGAACATAGCCAACATAAGCTACATAAACATGGAATATAAGCTAACAGACATCACTAGAAGCAATTCAGTTTCAAGAGATCAAATAACCATGCTTACCTTATGGTTGAATTCTACTGGAAGAAATTACTAAAAAGGTAAAATGTGTTTATGGTGCTTTTATTGTAAAGTAGCCATGGCCTGGAAGTACACTTCATGAGTGAGAAAACTGCTCTTCTCTAACCAAAGGTTTTAGCACCAGAGTGGCCTATGCTGTAATGAGTGACAGGCCTTGGTGCTGGAGTGACCAATGGTTCGGGTGAGAATTATGAATTGCAGGATCGCCATGTACTAGAGTACCAAGTTGGCCCATAAGAGTTCTGTTGTGGCAGTGTAAGGTGTCTCAGCAGATTACTTCATAGGCCCCTCCAGCTCTGGGTACAATAAGTACATGTACATTCAGACTGCTCAGTCAGGAGATCTAAAGATAACGATGCCATGATCTGATCATTTTAGATTCGCCTGAGAGACTCTCGGTAAAGCCTTGAGTGAGTCCAAAAGTATATTTATTTCGCACTTGTATTTATATCAATCTGAGAGTCTCTCCCCCTCCTTTACCCCTCCATCTGCACCTTCTAGATTTCCTGTTACAATGCAAGTTCATCAAAACAACATAGCTGCAGACAATATTTGGCTACATTTGTTTACAAAAGCGAGGCCTTCTGCAAGACGCTAGCAGGATGCGGTTACATGCTTCACTTCATTTCTCATAAAAACATAATTCAAAAACATCACACTTTTAAATTCTTCTATTAATAATACTACCATTTACTACTTCTAGGTTGTCAGGTCAGTCAAAGAACAAAAATATAAAAATATAGGTGTGATACACAAAATAATAAATCAAAGTATTAGGAGCAAAAGCTTCACTCTCCAGGATGACAGAAGGGATGATAACGTGGGAGAGGTAGTGGATTCTCATCGCTGCACTTCTTCCCTCCTGTTCCAGGGTCCTCAACAGTTACATAGATAGTATTATACTCAGGTACAAATACATCTACTAAAAAAAGTACAAAAAGTACAATGTATGCTTTTCAGATTCTTGAATCTGATGATGTCATACTCCCTAATGGAGATGAGAAACAGTTTATCCTGTAAATTGCTTTATACTTTGTCATGAAATATCCAAAAGGTAAATACACAAAAGTTGAACCTGATCATTAAGTGTCTATTAGTGACTGAACTGTAGATCCTGCCTTATTACAGCAGATATCAGCATTTTAACAATATTTGTTTTAATTGCCCTTCATCTGTATAAAATTTTATAGTCCAGTAAAATGTTATGATGCTGTCTGAAACTCAGGAATTACGCAATAAAATCTACTCAGTCTACATGTGTGAATGAAACAAAACATCATAACCTCATCATAACATGGCTGTATTCCCTCTGTGTGTCCAGGCCCACAGAGCTGTTCCGCAGCTGTAACGTGCAGTCGGACCAGGGCGCCAGGAACGACTTCAAACTGTGGTCCAACGGCACCATTAAGATGCCCTACATGAACATCCCAGTGCTGGACATAAGGAAGTGCCTCCCTGACACCTGGAAGGCTGTGGCCTGTGTGCTGCAGATCAAACCCTGCCACAGCAAGTCCAGAGGCAGCCTCATCTGCAAGTACGTCTTAGGCGATACATAGCATGACTTTAACCTAAACATCCTGGCAAGTTAAACCAAAAATATCCTATGGTCATTTACATAACATAAATATATATTAGCAGTTTAACACGTACATTTTTAAATTATAAAGGGAATCTTACCTACAACATTAATATACTTTGTAAACATATATTTTAACAAACATTTATTTTCAAAAATGTTCTGTTATTTATCTAGTATTTGTCAAAGGTTGTGCTTGCACTTGCACATCAAAATGGCACTAAACAAACCTAGAACTAAACCTGCACTAGAGCAGGACCAAACACAGTCTACATTAGGACTAACCTGGCTCACTCCAGTTTGGTATGTGTAGAACTCAATTTATCAATGCGGAGCGACGAGTTGAGAGAAAAGCACATACATCTTCTCTGTTCACAAATGCACAAAGTGCTTAATTTCGGCAAACAATACTCTGTATTTTTGGTAAAATAGGCTGAAGTACGTCTGCTTGCATCGCAATGTTTGTTTTGGTTGGCTTTGCCTTTGGGTTCTGCACAAACCTCAATGTTGCTCTGTCATTGGTTCGCCCACCCAGTTAACCTTACAGCGGGAGTCTCAAGATTGTTTGTGACTCTCATGAGTTCACAAACTCATGAGAGAAAATCCATCTTGCTGTGTATGGTTCTACTGGACTCAAGGCACAATCAGACAAGGACAAGTTTGGACGCTCAAATCACAACCAAACAAGGAGTGTGAACACCCCTAGAATACTCCCGAGGTTGGGGTTGCAGTATCTTTTCACTTTTACACGATGATGATGTGTACTCACTAGTTTAGTATTTATTTGTTATAATCTTGATGATGTGGTTTGAAATATTTGAAATGCATTGTGTGCAGGTCTGACTGTGTGGAGATTTTGACCCAGTGTGGGGACAGGAGGCGCTTCCACGAGGGCCAGACTCCAGAGAGGATCTGTGAGCTGCTGTCCCCGGTGGATGACCCGGAGCGCTGCATCCCCCTGCACACTTACCTCAGTGAGACTCTACTGAACCTTAACAATGCTGCTTTAGACACAATATAATATGTGTGTGTGTGTGTGTGTGTGTGTGCAATCAGCTCCCAGCATCCACCCAACTAGTGTGGTGGAGGAGGTGATCCACCCGTGTAACCCCAACCCCTGTTCTACTAACCACCTGTGTGAGGTGAACCGCCGGGGCTGCCTGGATGACTACAACTGCCTCCCCTACATCTGTGTCCCAGGTACTAGAGCAGAGCATGCTCCTCACTCACTTTTAGTTCAGAATATAGTCAATTATAACTATTTATGTAGAATGTGTACTCAGAATTTCTTTTATTTATGTGCATTAGGGCTGCTTATTGTAATTATGATTAGATTTCCATTTAGATTAGATTAAGATAAAATAAGATAATCCTTAGATGATTCAATTTTAGTAAACAACTCCAGGAGCATTAACATTTGAGAGTAGGCTGAAATATGAAATGATATGAAACTCAAACAAGAATCCCATACAGATCCCATCCTATTCCAGAACATGTTTGTAGAGGTAGAAACATGTACAAGATTTTCTATAAAAAGGATCATTTCTTCTATGCAAAGGACATTCTATAATGTAAAAAACTGCGGTCTTTGTGATTTGATAATTGTGAAAACTCAAATTGTGTTTCAAGCTAATTGTAATATACTGTGCAGCCCCAACATGCATGTTTTATTTCTTGAAATCTCATCTCAAAATGAACGTATGTGTGTTTTCAGCATGTAAACTGGGAGAGGCATCGGAGTTCCTGGTGCAGCAGGACGCTCTAATCCAGGTGCCCTCCCGCAGTGCTCCGGCTGGCTGCTATGAGGTGTGCAGCTGTGGAGCCAGTGGGCGTCTGGAGAACTGTGTGGAGATGCCCTGTGTGGACACCACCAAGGCCTGCGTGGTAGGCGGGCAGAGGAAGAGTGAGTATGATGTATTGGTGACTGCGTTTGTGAATATTTGTCTAGTAAAACCTAGCAAATGGTAAATGTCTTAAAACCAGGCTCTGATAAATCATGAATTATGTGTTGGCAAAAAAAAAAATCAGCTGAACTTTTACATTATGCAGGTCATGGGACATCCTTCCAGATCGACTGCCATCACTGCTCATGCTTCTCTGGAGACACAGTGTGCTCCACCAGAGAGTGTCTGAACGAGGGCAGCTCTGAGAGGGAAAGGCGTCACTTCACTGGTATGTCTCTCTGCTCTATACTCTCCTAGCATCACCACAATCAAGTGTTTTTTTGGACCAGACTTTGACAAGAATTAAAATGCAACACTTATGCTATTTTATGAATTTATTATCAAACCAGGTCAGCAGGTGTTTTCTAGTGGATTCCTTCTGTAATCCTCCTTATCCTTCATAGGTCTTCCCTGCAGCTGTCCAGACCACTTCATCCCTGTGTGTGCGTCTAACGGACGCACCTACCCCAGTGCATGTGTGGCACGCTGCATGGGCTTCAAGGACCACCAGTTTGTGTTTGGGCAGTGCCGCCTCACCAATCCCTGTGCCCGCAAGCCCTGCTCCAGGAGCCAGAGGTATGTGGTATACTGCTGTACATTTCATGTTATCCATTTTTAATACTTGAATAATATAATTCAGTGTCCTCTAAACATGACTGCATTGACAAATGGCTGACAGCACAGCACCCTGGGGTCCCCAGGCATTTCTGTGCAGAGTTTGCATGTTTGTCCCTGTGTCTGGGTGGGTTCCTGGATGAATTTAACATTTATTACCCCAAGGCACTCCAGTGGCCCCCATCAACTCATAACAAGCATAATAGCTAAAATGCTCCAGCTAATGCAGTACTGACCAAGTCTAGCTTAAGACCTGCTCCTGGCATGTTGCCCAAGCGGAATTGAAGGATGAGTCCAATGCAAAGGCCTTATTTCCCTTAATGTTTGCTGTGCTGTGTACAGGTGTATGTCCCGGTTCCGTGTGTGCCTGAGCGACTCAGGGGACTGTCCTCAGTTTGAGTGTGTGGGCAGACCCTCCCCCTGTGACCGCACCACTGTGGAACCTGTGTGTGACACTGAGGGAATGGTACACCCCAGTCTGTGCCACCTGCAGCAAGCTGGCAAGAACCTCGCCTACATGGGACACTGCCAGGTACTACTGTCCCTGTGGACTGGTGTCTATAATGATCAATGCCACAATATATTTTAGTGCTATGAATGGTTTGCTAATGACACTTAGCTTACTATTTGAATTGATTTTATTTTAGTTTAATAGATTTTTTTTTTTTAGTTTAGTTTAGCTTAGTTTAGTCAGTCTCACCAACCTCTTTTGTCAGTAAAAATTATAAGCATAACCTACTTACAAATCTTAAGAAATTCTTCTGTCATTGCACATTGCAAACTTAGGTCATCATGACAAAAACAATGAAAATTATCCAACAAATATGTGAGGATCTGAGAAATTATGACACTAAATAATTCTTATATTCCTAGTTCCCTCATATTAAAAGTCTATTGTCTATTGCCTCTTGGTGGTTTTGAAACTCTAGAATGTTTTGATGTCATACTCCCAGATGGGGGCAAGAGTCAGTTTACCCCATTGATTGTACTTTGCCATGAAATATCAAAAGGGCAAATTCACAAATGTTGAACCTGATCATTTCTTTCAGTAACTGGACCCTAGAACAACAAAAATCAGCATGTGAACAATTTTCATTATTATTATTGGTCTATAGAATCTTGTGATGTCATCTGTAACACAGCAATAACTAGACACATGACTATCTTGACCATAATTCCAAAAATATGCCTCATTATATTTTATTCATTTTATTCATATTTATTTACTTTTCATCCCTAATGCTTTCAGGATTCTTGCCGGGGCCCTCAGCCAGTATGTGGTCATAATGGAGAGACATACGAAACCGTATGTGATGCCTTCTCAGACCGTGTGGCAGTGGATTACCCGGGCCCCTGTCAGGCTGTGGGGCCCCTGTCCGATTCAGCCCCTGACTCCTCCTGTGCTCTTGTCCAATGTCCACCAGTCTCTACCCCTGGCTGTCAGCCCGTCATCCCTCCAGGTAACTGCTTTAACTGTTAATGATTTGCCTTTTATTTTTGACAATTTTATTAACTTTAATTCTTAAACTTATTTGCGGATTTGTAAATTAATACTTTCTTACAGATTTCAAGATAGGTCATTCATCAGTGCCAGTAAAGTAAAATCTTCACTGATAGATACATAAAGTTGCACTATGTCACTTATCTATTGGACCTACTTGTCTCCATGGAGATGTTGATTTGCCTGAAATGTTCCACAGTAGTTAAATTATGCATGGTTATTGCAACAAAAAACTTGAAAAACATGCATTCTTACTGTGAGTGGATTTGCCTCTCCAAAACTATAATCTTTCCATGGAGACAAGGTGTTGCCGCATCTACTAGTGAAGTTACATAGTGCACCTTTAAACTCAGGTGTAATAATATAAACTAATAGAGTTGTATGTGTGCCCTCTGCCCTCAGGAGCCTGCTGCCCCATCTGTGCGAGCATGCTGCAGATCCTCTGGAACAAGGAGCACATCAACACCTTCTCCAAGGTAACCAAACCTCTCACAGAAATAATATACACAAAACACATAAATGCAACAACAAAAAAGGAAGAATCGTAATATGGAGTTTAGACACAGCTCAGCTAACTCACAGAAATGGAGTTACTGAAAATACATTCCAGGTTGAAAGCGGCTAGGGCACAAATAGATGTAATTACACAAGATTACCACAAGAGGGAGCTGTCGGCTTACTCAGTTTAGGTATAACTGTTTAAAATGGATTTGGCGTTTGCTAACTTAAGTTTAGAGACACATAATTATGGGTCTATTCATTAATTAATTTAGTATTTTAAGTACAAAACAAACAATGTGAAACTATCATAGCATAACATAAAAATGCAACTTTATCTGACTTTGACAAATGTACAAAATAAATACAAAATATTTTTTTATGTGCAAACTGCATAGTCACTCTCAACTTTTTGTTGAAAATCAAACACCTTAAGAGGACAGTGAATGCTAGTATTCATCACAGACTCCAGACAATGTGTTGTTTAAACCCATTTTCTATTTTTCTTGAGTTTTCAGACAAAACTTTTTTGTCTGTGTACTAATGTGTGCCATGGAAACTGCTGAACATTCATCCAAGAGAGATACATTAAGAACACCCCCAGCATGATATCAGTACTACACACACTAGAATATTTAAAAGTCCATTTTGATCACAAATCAAATCACAAATGAACATAATTTTAAGCTTACCTTGAGTTTTTGTACTAGACCATTCTTCTTAATTATGTCATTTGTTCAGTTTTAATGCCTGCTCAAATTTTTGTATCGATTAATATTATGGTATCGATTTTTTGACAACTCTAACACACACTGGACAGAAAGTGAACAGACCCAAAGTTAACTGTGCGGTGAAAGCAATTTGATCACTGAAAAAGGTCAGTTTAGCATAATTGGGAGGATGCTTAATATGCAACATTGACATTTCTTTGTTTTTAATGCAATGTTTTTAAATCCATTCTTTCGACTGGGGGGCGTATCAGAGAGGAGGGTTCGGCTCCCTCTGCCCATACAAAATACCAGTGAACTCGCATAAGGACAGGCCTGAGCTATGAGCAGCACTACCGCATGAATTTTAGAACGTATTGATCGCTGCATAGAAAAGTTGTGTGGGACATACACTCTGGGACTTCTGTGCGGTGGTTTTGGTTGGATTCTTGAAGTATAAGGAAAGTTTGAAAGGATTACCTGTGGAATGAGATATCAGATATGGTTCTTATTTTTCCTTGTGATGAAAATAATATATGAAGATAATATTGCAAAATACTATTAAATATATATTGTCTGAAATTCTGTGTTTTTCTAATTGCCACTATAGTCATGATACGAAATTTGTATTGAAAAAAAGTGTGACTTAATTGGAATAACGATTAGGGTTGTCAAAAATATCAAAAAGGAAATACTAATCGATACTATAACTAATATCATAGCTTAATACTAAATAAGTATTGATACATAAACATTTAAAACATTTTTAGAACATTATGGTATCATCACATGGTAGCATAAAGAAATGACTATTATTTTTTGTTGAAATTTACAGTCTGTTGTGTTTTTTAAATTGTAGTATCGTGACCATACTAATAGGGACAGGGCCAATTTTGATACCCCAGTGATGGGAAAAAAAAACATGCCCAGAGTTGTGTTATTTTCACATGTTTAACACACAAACCCTGCATATTTATGCTGAGTAGAAAAAACTCTTGTGATGTCATGTGGTAATACAGGAAGTGCTCCATTGTGTTTTAAAACTCCGTACACCTTCACTAGAATCATTTAGATAATTTCAGCCCTGGAATTGCTAATTTCTACTGAACACAAGGCAAAAGGTAACTGTTAACTTGAACAGGAACAGAGCGCTTTCAGCATTACTCATACTTGTGAATGAAACAAAACACAACTCTAGGTATGTTTTTGAGGAGGTAACAACATTCTAACATGGCTAAAAGCTTGCCATAGTCAAATTTGCATACTATAGTACCTTTAAAAACCTAAAATAATATGTTTGTGTGTATGAGTGTGTACTTAACCTTTACTGCCAGTACACATTTGGCAGCATTACTTGCAGTTTAACAGTGTGTCTGATGTGTTGTCAGCTGAAGCGTGAAGAGCCGGTGACGGTGCAGGACGTCCTCAGGGTGCTGCGGCTCCATGTGTCCGTGCCTCAATGCGATGTGTTCGGATACTTGAGCATTGATCACGTCCTGGTGGTGCTCATAGCGCCGGTGGAGCAGCAGCCCACGCCTCTGCAGGTAACACACTGGATACTAACTCGCTCGCTGTATGTAAGAGATTTTTTTATATTTAGTCTTAAAGGTGCATTGTGTGACATCTCTGGTAGAGAAATGCTTTTCTCCATGGAAATGTCATCGCTTTGTCTAGAATGTTTAACAGTATGGTACTAAACCTTTCTATCTTCATGAGAACAAAACCAGACCAAGTTACAGGTCAGATCTGGAGAGGTGGCCCCACTGACAGTCAGAATGTCTGTTTTTCTATGTATTTTAGAGCTGTAAAACCACCTATAATTGAAGAAATATAAGGTAGAGGTGTTTAATGTCATACTGTGGAACATTCCAGGTAGAGCAATGATATATCCATAGAAACAAGCAGGTGACAGGCCCCCAAACTATATTTGTATACGAGAAAGACACAATTTTATTCATTGATTTATTTTGCTTTATTTTACTTATATATTTACTTTTTTCTCGATAGTTTGGAATGTTAAAAGTATAAGAGAATAAGCTGAGTTTTCCAGAATCCATCTTGTCACAGATGATTCATTCAAGGCTGATCCATTCAAGCCTGTGGTTACATGGCTACAAGGTCAACTGAAATGGAATAGGAAGTATTATGTTTGACAAAAACAAGCTATTAATGCTTGCCAATGAGGCAGCAAGGGTAAGAAACTGTGGGTATGACGCAACACATCCTTTAAAGACCTAAAAGACAAAAGGGTTACGACAATGTGCTACTTCTACTTCTATCCATCTTGTTTTGTAAATGCATTTACATTATTGTATTCTCACTTTTCTGCCATCATTTAAATAAAGGATCCACTTCCCTATTTGTACTGTTATCTTGTAGATGTAATAATCCTAAAGCAATACCCCAAAATCTAACTCTCTTCACCATAGTAGAAATACACAAAAGCCAAACCAGCAAGGCACAGTACATAACTTAAGAACGCACATGCATTCTTGTGGCGCTAATTCCTTTTTAAACATGCTTTGGTCACACATTTTTACTTTAAATAATAAGTCTGTACTATTTTAGCTGCATTCATTGTGAACACAGTTTGACCACTTAAAAAGTCAGATGCTGGTTTATGATTTTAAACACTGCACAAGAGAAGTCCAGATTTTTACCTGTGACTCAACAGTCTGGGCAAAAGTTACATTTGCGTAATATCTTTCCTATAATGAATGGAGAAAAAAAAAGTTTACGTTTAGACAGGGAGAGATGTCGTCAATGCAATGATTGAAAAATATGATCAAAAAGAAGAGAAAAGAGTTGTATTGACTGAGGAGGCTACATTCATAAGAATCCATTGAAAGTTGATTGGTCCAGAAGTGAAACTGGAGGTTTGATTGGATGCCATTGAAAGACAAGTTTATTCAAGGTCACAGAATACAATTTTTGTGTTGATTTTGTGCTGGCTTCATCTTGATTAATTCTGCATGTTTTCAATGTTGTGTTCAAGATGTTGCCCTGAGCTTTTCTTTTGCCTGGCAGCCCAACAGTCATTTGAAAAAACTTTGTGTTTGGAGCCAATAAAAAGGGTATTGAGAAGTGCAAATGGAGGACACATACATTAGTCACAACTTGTCTATACGTTATAGTCTATGGCAGGGTTGGCTGTTTGTTTGGAGAAGTACACCATGAATATTCAATGGGATGTGTGCCATGAGGGGGCGGACACATCTGTCGACTCACCTTCGAACTTTTCTACTGTCAACAAGTGCGCTAATGAAAACTACTCCGAGGTGGATGAGGATGTGATTTATGTATAAAGGATATGGGATTTCTCTATGGTTTAGATACTTGATTCATTTAAAGAAGACATATTGTGCTTGAATCTGCTATGTAGTTATAATTTATGACACCCGTGGATCATTATATTATAATTTGCACTTTTGAAATCGCAATATTCATCTAAAATGACTTAATAAAAAAGTGTCTGCTGACTTCAGCATTCTACAGTTCCCAATGGGAGCAGACGTCGCTGTAAATGTCATGAGAACAAAGTGATGTGAAGTTGTATGAGTATGTGTATGCCGGTAGCAGTGAAAACGGGGGTTGATCAACTATATGCATATTAATGAACACCTGTAATTAGAGTGTAAATATGACAGATTATAGCAAAAAAAAAGCAAATTTCCATCTGTTGTCCCTAGGCAGGTGACACAGAGAACAAATACAAAATAGAAAAACAGTTACACACAGTAAAAGCTTAGATTAAAAGTACTCACAGACTTGGTTATCCTTCATCCACAGTTTAAGGTGCAGTTTGAAAGTAGATAGAGATGGAGTTTTTCTTATTGTCAGTGAAAGATTGTTCCAGTAATAAGTCTTTTTGCTGTCTGTCAAAGGGACTTAATTTGTCCAAATGTGGTGTGTCTGTGTGCTGTCTCGCTGTCCCCTTGAGCTGTGGCCCTGATGCCCTCCCACTCACAATCTTTGGTTTTATAAAATTTGTCAGTGGAGGAGGAGCCAGTCCGTGCAACGCTTTGAACATAAAAATGACTTTAAAAACGAAGTTATCAAAACGGAGTAAACTAAACGTATCTAAAAGTCAGTGGTGATATGGGCAAGGTTTTTTGTCCAAGATTTTTATTGACTGTTTAAAAGGAGATTCTAAGGGTTTGAGTGTTGTGCTGTAAGCGAGTGACCAGGAGGTGATACAGGGGTCTTATGTGTTTAAAATTCTGTGCATTAAAATTGACAATGTGTATGATCGTTTAGTTGTGTATAAGTATATAAATCTTTTGGTGTATCATATCTTGTAAAAAGGCTAAGTAACTTTAAATGTCCTATATTATGCAAAAATGACTATTGTGTTTTAGCCATGCTATAATGTTATCTGATAAAAACATTCCTAGAGTTGTGTTTTGTTTCATTCAACCCTTTATTATTATTCTGTCTACATCTCCAAAACTCAAGGTGCTCTCTTCCGCCTTGTTGTTGTTGTTCTTCTTCTTTTTCTTCTTGTAAGATGTCTTTTGTTATCATCTTCTCAGTTAGTTCCAGGAATTCTGCTGCTCTTCTGTGGTGTGTCCATAGAGATCCTACATTGAGACCTTGTGGTGCTGGCTTTGCAGGGCAAGTGAAGAGGTGCTGTGTTGTATGAGATGTTTGGACACACTCTGGACAGGTGTCAGTGTTCCACCTTGTGATGTCATGTAGTGGAAGTTAAGAGCTACCTTTAACTTTAACTTAACATTTACCTTTAGTTAAGAAGAGAGGAGCATTTAAATGATTCTAGTGAAGGTGTACAGAGTTTAAAAACTTCCTATTATGTGTATTATTTGAGAGAAGAGCTCAGCCTAATTATGCTGGATTTGTGTAGTACATGTGTGAATGAAAAAAAACCCACAAGGTATGTTTGTGATGACGAAATTACATTGTAACATAGATTAGACAATAGCAAAATATGGTGTACAAATGGCTACCATGCTTACAAGCTCAAAACATCAATCTGACACAATATGTTGTCATAAAATTAAGTTGTTATGTGATAGGCGCGATATTCATTTATGCAAATTTTCTAAAACTTGATCAAAGACCCTTGTGGACCAGTTTTTGCTGTATCCCTCTGAAGTTGTTTACCCGATTAAAAATGTAGAAATCTTAAAAGCGTTTTGAAGAACCAGACGAGGAGCAAAGTCAAAGATACAAAACTGAGAACACGGTGTTCTCAAAGACTTTACGAAAGCACTCTTAGATAAACAAGCTTCCGAAATTACCCATCAAGTCTACTACAGACACTACTGAGCGCGTGCAGGTGGGAGGGGCTTCAGCTGTTTCCAGGCAACTGTTGGCTTTCTGTTTGGACCAAATGAACTCCTCTCATCTGCAGCTCTGGACATAACGAGTCTCCACCGGCTTTGTCAAATAACAGAATTGATTTTTTTGGTATATTTTATTTATAGACAGTCAGGATTATGATTTAGAAACAACTTTTTCAACATTTTCAGGCTGTGCAAAAGACAGAGGTGTTACAGAGCAAGCAAAGAGATACAAAACATTGGGGAGGGATTCAAATAACACTATAGTACCCATACTAAATGTCTACTTTTCTGACCTGTATCTGATTTTGACTGCCTTATAAATGTGAAAAATAGAACAAATTCATTTTAAACAGTCTGCAGAGGTCCAAAGTTATTCCTCACTCACCTTATGCATTCAGAGCATTCTAATTATTCAGTGCGATGAGTTTATAAGCAAGTTTCACAATTTTCATAGATCAGAGATTTGCCGTCACAGTAAAACAACAAATAGCATGCTAATGTGCACTTCCTTATTATCAGACAATAAAATGCTCTATAGCAGACTTATTTTGTCTGCAAGAGGTGCTTATGCAATATATTTATCTGTACTAGTGCAAGAAACATTTTGCTGAAATACATGGGGATCCTTAAAAGCTGCACTGTGTCACATTTCATCAAAAACATGCCTGGAGTTGTGTTTTGTTTCATTCACATGTTTGAGTAATCTTTGCTGAATAATGCTCTGTGCTACCTTATGATGTCATGTAGCAGTAGTTTTCAAGTTAACAGCTACATTTTAACTTTGTTCAGCAGAGATCAGCAATACCAAGGCTGAAATGATCCAAATGATTCTAGTGAAGGTGTGTGGAGTTTAAAAACACAGTGGAGCACTTCTGTATTACCACATGACATCACAAAGTGGAGCAGGCTAAATATGCAGGGTTTGTGTGAATGAAACAGAACCCTTTAAACATTCCAGACAAAGTAATAAAATCTCCATGGAGACAAGTAGGTGACAGACCCTAAATCAGAAAAGTTCCATTAACCAGATGTTTTTCTGGATTTTTGGTCAGGAGTGCTTAGCTGGTGCATTAGTTTGTGCATCTTTTAGGCTGAAAATTGAAGAGACAAGGAGCAAAGTCTGCACAGACAGCCCACATGTTCTGATTACTAGCCCCAATGAACTTTAAGTCTCATTTAGCTCCTCTACACTATAGGTGCCATAGGAGAATACAGCGTGAACGGATTGTGAAGGTCGACTCTGCTCTGACCAGCCTGAATAATGTGTTTTGTTCTCACAGAGCTCAGAGCTGTCATACACACAAGTTGTATTTCTTCGTAATGCAAGTTAAACTGAAACTATTCCACTCAATTACATTTAGCTGAGTAACTTTCTGAACAATGTGTACTTCACTGAGTAGTTTCCAGACTAGTATATTTTTTCAGTCTAATAGTAACAGCTTGCGTAAACAGTGTTATAGAAATTAGATGTTATGTCCAAACTGTTACATGTCATTTCCTGAAATACATTTACTTGGATCCCTATTTTGTACTAGCCTGATTCATCAGCTGGTTTGACTTCGTAGAAACCGTTTGACCTTGCAGTGTTAGAATTCGTTCACTCAACGGTAGATGGGTACTTTTTTCATTTAACCAATCTCTGCTATTTGGTCGTGACATATGTAATGTGCCGCTAACGGGGTTAATGGATATATTAAGCTTTTCCCAAATCCTGTAGGAAGAAGGGCAATAACGTCTTTCCCCTTGATCAAATTTACCAAACATTCTCTTTGTTGCAGCTTTAAATCCTCAATCTCGGGAATCGTTGCCAACAGAGAATGTGTGGCTATGCATGTCATCCACGCATGTTTGAGTAGTCTAGTGGTTAGCAGCTCAATTCTGTCCAAAAGCCTATGTCACCCATTGTCCCACATAACAACTCTCCATAAATATACAAAAACATGATCAGGGTATAACCAGGTTTGACTACCCCAAATTTAAGACTTTTTAAAAACCTTTTTAAATGAAAATTAAGACCTACCCATTATTCAAGCGAAAAACACCAGATCCAGTTCTAATAATGACCAACCAACTACTTAGCCTGATTGATCAGCCGGTTTCACTTTGTAGAAACCGTCTCACCTCGCAGTATTAGGATTCGTTCGCTCGACGGTAGGCAGGTACTTTTTCAAATTTAACCAATCGCTGCTATTTGGTCATGACGTTTGTCTAACGGGGTTAACTGGTATATTACAATTTTCCCAAATCACATAGGAAGAAGGGCAATAACGTCTTTCCCCTTGATAAAATTCACCAAACATTCTCTTTGTTCTTCGCTGATTGGCTGGTGCCCAAACTCGCACTTCCGGGGTTCTTGCAAACCGTGTATTCTGATTCCTGACCTAGTCGCTGGAGAGAAATGAAATTGAGCGGAGGCACTAGGTGGTGCCAGCCTAGCTAATTTTTTACTTCTACTTGTGTAAAATCATTTTTAAAGCAACATAACTCTTGAATACAATTTTTGGACTACTCTACCTACCTCTGCACACCATCAGCTAGTAGAAAATCCACCACTAGCCCGTAGCTTGACAGTTTTTATCCAACATTGGTATTGCGCATTGTTGTTGTGCTTTTAGGCAAGAGGCTACACCCATTCTGCTTGTGTGGATAATATTTTTACCTGCCAGGATCTGAGTGCCCAAATTAATTCCATTCAGGAGGCTCATCTCATTATGGAAATCAAATTGAGAGAAAGGACGATTCATTTGAACATTTAATACAATTTGGATATACTTACCTACCTCAGCTTGTTTTCTTATGTGCCCAGTTTGCTATTTTTTGCTGATATAAGTAAGTTACATAGTTTATGAAAAAGACAAGACAAGATTTTAAATGTTGCCCTGCTTAGGGTTCATGTTTTGAGGCTAATGTATAGGAATTTATATGTTATGATAAATTTTTCATAGTCTTCATGTTTTGTTTTGTTTTTTAACCTGGCTGCTTTTTCCAAATGAAATCAACTGAAATACCTGTAAAATTATCCTGAACCCTATTTCACTACAAACCCATAAGAGAGCTGTGTAGTCAGATTTAGTTTTGTCCAAGTGTCCAAATTAAACTTGTCTTTTCTTTAGTCTGGTGGTTTACAGGAAACAAAAGTCAATTTGTATTAGAGATTTAAACTGGATAGCCAATACTTTAATAAATACAAATATTAGTCTGTCTCTACAGACTCTAACATTTTTTTCACCTATTAGGATTGTTAAAAGTATCTGAGACTAATAAATAAAAAACTAGCATCAAAAAAACTAAAAAAAAAGTCACATTCACAGGACAAAAATGAACCTGAATGGCTTTAGAATGATCTTGAGCTATATCAGAACAAGTGTAAGAGTACATAAACTAGTATATAGGGATTACACAGATATAAGGAATTACACAGATAAAAGTATGGTAATATTGAAGTACTACTTTAAGTACTAATTTTAAAGTACTATGATAATATTAAAGTACTATGATTTAATGTTGAAATATTATCAACATTAAAAAATTGAAATTGAGTATTGAGTCTATTCCTTGGTATCAAAATTGACTATCAAATTTTTGTATTTTGTATTTTGTTGGTTTTTAAAGGTTCTATAATATCCATATCCATCCAGATGATTCTAGTGAAAATTTATGAAGTTTAAAAACATAGTGGAGTACTTTCTGTATTACCACATGACATCACAAGGTGGAACCGAGTGTTTACAGTTTGAGAGAAGAACATGTTAGAAGCCTAACTATGCAGGGTTTGTGAGTTAAACGTGTGACTAAAACAAAACACAATTCCGGGTATGTTTGTGATGAGGAAACATTATAACATAGATTAGATTTAACAAATCAGACATTCTTTGTAACACCTCTACCCAAACTTGCGCACAATTTTGGCTCCCCCACCCACTTCTCCTTGCGATTTCTTGTGTCCAGGTGGAGGCGTGCAGCAAAGAGGCGGAGAAGATCGACTCACTGATAAACTACTCCAGCCCCACCCTGATGTCCCACGTGCCCCTCTCCGCGTTCCTCTCCTCACAACTGCAGACCTCCTGGATCCTGTCCTCGTCCGGGACCGCGGCCCACCCTCTGAGCCCCGGCCTGGCTGTGCTGCTGGGGCTGCTCCTGGCCGCTGCCCCCAACCTCCACATCCTCTAAGATCTTCTAGCATCCGACATCTTGTTTCACCTTTGATGCAAGACTTTGAGATGAGTCCCGCCTCTGTGGGTGAAGAGCGCGAGGCGAACACAGCAAAAAAAGGAATTATTATACAGAAGTTGAAATGGCTTCTTAATTTGAGTAGTTTTAAATGTTTAAACATACTCACTTAAAGCTATATTTGATAATTTTTCAGGTTGAGGGTCTGCCACTTGCTTGTCTCCGTGGAGATATTGTTGCTTTCCTTGGAATGTGCCACAGTATCCCATTAATCATATCTATCGCCATTCAGAATGTATGTTTTCCAGGTATTTTTAGGCAATAATAACATCTGTAATTGATTTTGCTGTGGAACATTTCAGGCAACGCAAAAACCATATTCGTGGAGTCTGGCACGTGGCAGATCCTAACCACAAAAGCTACGCAGTGCATCTTTAATTGGTTTACCTTTTTGAAAACTTAGCTTGATAATACCACAAAATTAAAGTCGTCAGAACAATTTTGTCAAAAGCTGAAGTTAAAACTACTCATTTTAACTAATATATTCCTTGCAGTGCTTCAGACCAACCCCGTTTTTATAAAGAGGGAGGAACAGGATTGAATGAACTTGCCATCTCTCTTTCTCTTTCAGCCCTTGACAATCATTCTTATGGTGCCTCCTGCGTTACAGCAATCTGAAGCTAATGCCATAGCAGTATTCTATTGAAATGAAGGCAAGCGTGCGGCGCCAAGCTTCTCGTACGCGCTCCCAAAAACTATCCGGTTCACTTTAGGTCACTTTGGTACAGCAGATGTCCGGGGATACATAGAGGGTATTCTCTGCATAAACACCTGGAGGGGAGGAGACCAACTGCTAAGTCATCCGTTCATTTTTAACAACGCTGCAGCCGCAATAGATGTCAAAATAATCAATCAGTAATCAAAAAAAACCTAAACTTTATTGCTATTGCCAGGGAACAAATTCACAACCTTGGAATGTTTGAAGTTTGGTGCATAATAGGCATGCATAGTGAAAAAGCAATTCTTATTATTACTAGATTTGAAAACAAAATTACCAAATGAGCAATAGAGCAAAACTAAAAGAACTTGAACATGTTTTGGTTAGTTTTTTTTTGTAATTTTTGGTTCTATTTACATGAAACAAAAGCTGATAGAACTTGTATTAATAGTGCTGTACCACATTTTTACTCTTAAAACATAAAAAACAGAACTGCAGTGGTCCAAAGTTATTCTTCACTTGCCTTATTCCTCATTATTCTCCACAATGGGTTTATAAGCACTTTTTAAACTTTCAAACTTCCTGATCATCGGACAATAAAATGCTTTATAATTAGATTTAGGCAGTGCACAGTGGACTTATTGACCTTAAGAGCTGCTTATACAATATATCTGTGCTGAGGCATGGTTGTAGATAGCAGAGCAATTAGTTTTTATTTACATTTTTATATTATTTCCATGACCAACCTGGCAACAAAGTGCAATATGTTTTAGGAAGAAATAACACAATTAGATCTGCTTTAACAAAGTACTTTGGAGTGAACCGGATCTGAAGTCACAGCGCCACCGTGAGGCCAGAGCAGGACATGCCCGCTTTACCTGAATGCACATTTATGTCCTGTTGTTGTGACAGATACACAGTGTTTGGTCCTAACATTGAACCTCCATCTCTACAGTGTTGGTGCCTTGCTCATGGGCACTCTTACCGAGGCCAGTATGACGGACAGTTAAAAGGGAGAGTTCCAGTGTACTTTTGTAGAACTAAAGCCATCTGAACTTTTGAAGGACAATCAGCAGTGGTCATTTTGTCTATGGAAATGGCCGTCTTATATGAAGTCAAACAAAAATGCAATATATTTGTTGATAAATGTCTGTATATTTGTTTTAGGGCTGCATGATATCATATTTGATAACTATGTAGTGTGTACATAACAGTATTCAAATGTTTTCATGTACTTTTTAACAGTAAACTCATGCTAATTCAAGCTAATTTATGGCAAAACTGCAAATACTTAAACTTTTCTAATGGTGAGGCTGCCACTTCCTTGTTTCCATGGAGATGTTAACGTTTGAAATATTCTGTAGTATGGCTTTAACTGTATCTATGTTTATGAGGACAAGCAGGCGACACCACTAGGCCCAATTATAGATCAGATCTGTGGAGAGGTGAACTTCCTTACAATAAGAATGCCTGTTTTCCAAGTCATTTTTAGAGATAGAAACACCTGTAATTGAATGAATGCAAGATAGAGAAGTTAAATGCCATACTGTGGAACATTCCAGGCAATGCAATAACATTTCTATGAGAAGGTTGCCAAGCCTATGTCAGAAAATTTCTGTATCACACCTTTAAATTTAAACTTTTATTGTGATGTAGTTAGACTGTTCACACTTGTAAATTGGGACTAAAACAGACCTAAACCTGGACTATACAGCAGTGATTCCCAAGTTCCCAGTGCCCCCTATTAATGGTACCGGTTTCTTAAGTAATTATAATTTTGTTAATTAGTACATTGCCAGTTATATTTTCTATTAATAAAATGTATCCCAAATTTATCATACAGAAATACTCTTAAGGAAGTAAAATACAGTAAAGAGTTTGCATTACCTTTGAATGCCTTGCCTAGCAAATCCAGAATGATATTTTCGTATATTTAATACAGATGGATATCAGTCTGGTCCCCACACCCTTCTTTGCCCCTTAAGCCCGGCCAAACGTGATCCTGCAATCAGATTTGTTTTTTTGCAGTAATGCTTCACAAAGGAGCTCATCGGTCACCTATGATTTACGAAGAAAATCCAATTTTGCTCACCTTTGCTCACTGATTCTATAGAAAACCGCCAAGTTTTTCAGCCCCCTGTGTTATTTCATTTCCTTTACTTTTTCCAATACAGAATAAACCATGCATGTCTCTGAATGGGTAATCCACCTGTCAGTCATGAACATTTGAAAACGGGAAGATTCACCCGTGACCGGAGTCATACCTTACTCAAGTATTGGAGAAGTGTGTATTTTGGATCTTGAGCAATTGAATGCGAACTTTTCTTTTAATTCTGGTTGGGAAACACTGCTTTACAGGACCAAACCATATCTTCTTCAGGACTAATCCAAGTTCAAATCAGGACCAAACTGGACAAGTGTGAAAGCCTTCGTCTACTACAATATAAATATTACATTATCTGACATTGCAATAACAATAATCATGTGATATATTGTGCAGCCCTAACTAATCTGACTTTGAACACCAGGTTGAAATAGCTTTTAATGCATGACAATTTGAGTTGTGAATGTACTTATGTATCAGTGTTACTGCACAGGCAGCTGCAGCTCAACAGTATTTCAACTCACAGTATTGTTCTATTTGTTTACATTGTGTTTTTATACTTTATACTGAAGCTCTATGGTATTTTCACACGTCCTCATCAGGATTTGAATCAGCAACTCTTCCATCACTTTGCTTTTGTGCCTTTTAGCAGTTGCAGCATTGTGGAAGAGACCGAACCAGTATTAGTGTGTGGAAATGCTCTGTATGGTTGAAATAGGCAGTACAAGTTTCTCATTTTGAAATAACTTGTAGTATTTTTTAGAATTTATATTGCATTTTTGTAAAGGTTTATAAATGAATTGTACAAACTGATTATTTATAGCCACAGCATCAACCATAAATTGCCTACTCCAGCTTTACGTTGATGTATTTTTGAAGACTAGATATCACTATATGACTGACTATATGTACACACTTTATCATTTAAATGTTTATGAATAATTTATAATATTGTGTTTCATATGTAGCGTGTGTTTGCATGTATATATAGGTTGAACGAATCATTGGAAATATATGGTGACATTCCATCATGAAGATAAAGAGGTACAATGAGGGCACGTCAGGACAGTGGAGTATGCACAGTTCCATGTGAAAACAACTTCTCTATGATTAAATCTGTACTATATAACTATGCGTGCCTCTATAGTTATTGTTTTGCCGAATGTTCCACAGTATGGCATTAAATGCATCTATCACCATGGAGTCAAGTAGGTCAGTGTGGAGAGGGGACCCCACACACAGCATGTTTGATACTTTGGTACATATTGATACTTCGCAGTGCCATCACGCTGGGGTGGGATGTTCTATGTATTTCTCTATGGTGGAATGTTAAGCAGTTACCATGGTGACACAATGCACACTTTAACAAACACTGACAAAAGTTTTAAGATGTCTGAGAACTCAAGAAAATATACAAAATGGATTCAAACAAAACAATTTAAGGAGGCTGTGTTGTGATCAATACGAGTTCACGGTCCTGTTTAGGTGTTTGATTTTCAACAAAACGGTGAGAATGACTAACTGAAAAACTGTTTTCTAATACTAACTACCTTGTGACAGTAATTTCATGCATAAGAGACTTGTTTAATAGCACGAATCAGCTCACTTGAAAGTCAGATTGTGTGAAAATAAAGCTCAGTCTAATTTGAAGAACTTCTGAGGAGCTTCTGACCGAGTAGTGCCTTCAGTTAGCATCACACCTCCAGGGAATGTTGACGACATCAGCGGCAAAGTGTCAATTGAATACATGTTCAATAAATATGTTTAATGCCATACTGTACATTCCAGGCAAAACCACCACCACGGAGACAAGCAAGTGATGTACCTCAACCCGAAAAGTTATCTAGTTTATCTTTAAGTCAAGAAATGTTAAAAATGTTGTGTTTTTGACAAATTATTCCATGAAATGATTATTCATATTGGATGGTCTTGCTGGGTGGCGAACATAATGATTAAATTGGTTTCGAATTTGAGTTATATTTCTTCCATAATGGTTACTATGGCAACTCGCTCAGGCCTAAAAGACACATTTCAACAGACAGACGAATAATTAAGTCATTTGCAGCCAAATCATTACACATTTATAATTTCTTTTTAAACCAAACAAACAAGAAAAATGATTAATATTACCACAGTTTGGAGCCAGCTATTAAATATATGCAATGTGAAAAGCGGTGTGCATGTTATAGCCAACATAAGTTTAAGTATTTACATTTTTTTTATTTGTATGACCGATATTTTGTGTTTAAATTTTTGTCTGGATTGTTGTCTTGTCTTCCATGGCCCCACTTAAGTCACAAATGTTTAAAATCATCCATAAAATCTGAAATCTGTAGACTGTATGCAAGTGCCTTAAATGTAAAGAAGTCAGTTTAAAAGGTGCATATTTCTTTCAATAAAAACAAAAATAAGATTGTTTTGTGTGTTTTGCAAAATGATATAAACAAATATGCGTATAATTAAATAAAAGTCAGGTTGGAGCAGTCACTTTGGTTGTGAGGAAAAAAAGTTAAATCATTCATATTTTAAAAATAAATATAAGAAAGGAGAGTCTATGAAATGTCATGTACTATTGTAACTTATATTTAACTTTAACTAAAAACAAATGGTGGAAGAAGTTTTCAATTTTAAACCAGGCCTATTATGCAAAGTTGACTTCAGAGCTTGTTATAGTTGTTTCCCCTCACCATTTACTAACCCAAAGTTGTATTCTTGAGTGAGCCAAAAATGTTTGAGACATCTTTTATCACTTCTTTAAGATGATTGATTTTGCTGTTCCCATTTTCAGCACCACCAGCATACGCCCACTGCTCTGTACTTAAGTCATTTTCCTTTTTTGTTTTTTTCTTTTTGCACAGTATGGCATAAAACGTTGAGAATAGAGAATGGGGTATGTTTTTTAATCTTCTACCTCCATGGAATTCTGTCACCTGCAGAAAGTTAGATAGAAAGTAGATGAAGTAAAGCCATATAGAAGTGGATTAAGAGAATGCGATTTCATCCATAACGTTCTGCTCGAGTCAAATGAAGCTCACCGAGGCTGGCAGTTATGGGGTGAATTTGGAATTTGCTGAGTTCCATATTAAGAAGAGGACTTTATTTATGGATAAAATAGTGAAATAAATGACCAGGATCTTGTAGAGTGGGTTAAGACAAACATTTTAAGACCAAAATGACGAGGCACACTGCAGCAATTACAGAGAGATGGGTGACAATTCAATCAATACAAAGTGAAATTGAACCAGAGTCAATGAAGCCAGAAGCTCATCCATGTTCATTTTCTACAATCTACGAGTAAAAGTAAAAAGTCTAATGAAAAACGAAACCAACAAACAAAACTCTGGTACTTTCCACCTCTGAGAAATTGTATTGCATGTTCTTTCTACTTGCGTAATTGTGTGCTTTTTACTTGGAAAAAGCTTCTTCTCTAGCTTACATTGCATATTTTTATAGACATATCACAAGACTAGTGTTCCCTATAATATTTCTTTTTCCCCCATCATCAATTCCAAATGCCCAAAATAACATGCTGTAGGTCTACTACTTTGTAAATGTGCCTGTCTGGTTGCACACTCACACACACACACACACACACATACACGAACCAGATCTGGCAGTGGCTCTGAACAGAATCTGGCCCACATCATTTAATATTGATGAGTTTATATCCAGAGCGGTTTGTCACATGGACGCTGATGAGTCACTGATACTATGAGATTACACAGTACTTTTTTTTCCAGATCAGAATCAGGTTTATGTGTAAAGAATAGAGCCTCTTTGTTTGCGTCAAATAAAGGTATCTGTTCTTCTCTCGAGTAGATGGTTTTTCTTTAAATAAATTATAAAACATGAAGATGTGTTTTTTTCTGTGAAATGAAAGCACTGCATATTTCTTGGTTATAACCTAGGCCAGTACCAGTGATATGATAGTGACTAAACAGTCTAGTAGCAGGAGTAGTAGTTGTAGTAGTAGGTTAGTCGTGGTGGCATAATTTGATGTGGTATCCAGTTGAGCTCTGTCCTCCATAATACACACTTTTGCAGTACTGAAGAGGTACTGAAGAATTGTAGGGCTAGTATAATTTCCTTAAAGAAGATCTATTGTGCTTGTGTCTGCTATATAACTATAATCTATGATACCGGTGGATCATTATGTTTTATTTTGAACATTTTAATCTGTAATATTCATCTAAAAATACTGGTTTGTTTGTGGTTTGTTACCCAAAAGAACACTCTTTTCACCCTTCACTAAAACACTTTAAAACACTGCACTTTTGATCGCACACGGCACTTCAAACATATTTGCACATATTACAAAAAGAAATTGCACACAATTGATTTTAAAATCGTCTTTCTTTTACCACTTTTAATCCTGAGGCACAGTAGCATTTTAATTCAAAGCTGCTGGTCCCTGGAGAAAAGGAGACAGAATTAGCCAATTACCTTTTAAACTGAATTAGTGCAATATAGATATGATGCAGTATATCTGTTTGGGAATGTTTTAAGTGTTGATGTGTGTGGTACTGTATTTTATGGTGTTTTAATGAATGGTGTGATTTGTTTTTTACTTACCTCCTTTTATCTTCTGTCCAGGTCCCGAAAGAGTCCCCCAGGTATGAACTCCCACTTTTAAGGTTGCGAGCTGTGTATTATAGTGTACAGGGGTAGTAGGTTAGGTGTTTTATTGTTTTAAGGGTTATAAAGTTTTAATTTGTGTATGGTTTTAGCAGCGTCCCTCCATTTTGCACCCTGCATTTTTTGAACTTGCACTTTTTTGTGATGATTGAAAACAAAAACAAAAAAGTAAACTGTGGACCACTTCACGTCTTTGTCTGGATTTTTTTAAACCTTACTCACTGAACCCCAACCAGCTCACAGTCAACCTACATCACAGTGACAAAAGAAAATGGCAAAAGAAACAAATCCACTGACTCACACTTTAGAAACATGCACATGCTTTAAAGGTCATCACAACGAAGAGCTGTGAAGTTGTCAACATCTCCTAAGGGTAGCTGCTCATCACTCAAGCGTGCAGAACATTTATTTATTTTTTACCAAAATTACTACGCGACGCTAATGAATCCGTGTGTCACCAATATAAGAAAATTAAATGGGACAACAAAGTAAGTACAGAGCAGTGGATGTATGCCAGTGGCTGTGAAAAAGAGGATTGATCGACAGTGTGGCGTCTTGAAGAAAAGTGATCAAAGAGCGCTCAAACATGCACAAATGACTCCAGGTACAACTTCGGGTAAGTAAATGGTGACGGCAAACACCCATAATATAGTTAAAAACTATTAAAAAAAATCTATTTTGCACAATAGATCTGCTTTAAAAACAGAACTAGTGCATTTCAAACTTTTTGTAATGGCCCAAACTTATTCCTCACTAGCTTCCAAATTATTCACTTCATTGAGTTTATTAAAGTTTTTCACAACATTCAGAACCAGAGCTGAGTTTTGCTATCTGATTTGCGTAGGATAAAAATGCGTTGTGATTTGATGCAGATAGCACACAGCAGTCTCATTTTGACCCTAATAGCTACAATATAATATAATACAATGTACTGTGGTAAAACAATGTGTTAGGTTGAATGAAAAACGAACGCTTGAGTCCCTTTAAATCACCAAAATAGGCAACTTATGGTCTTGGTTTAATAATAGGCTATTATGAAGTCCTGTATGAAACAAAAGCTGATTGACTGTCTCATTAACTTGTAACCAATGCATGGAAAAAGTGAAAGACTATAATTCAAGGTATTAATTGCCAAAAGAGGTTTAAGCCCCAACAGACACTGCAAGTTTTTGGATCAACAGAGAAGTTAGTGATACTTTTCAGCTGATGTCATCAATATTCTCTGGAGGTGTAATGCTAACTGTAGGCACTGCTCTATCTGAAGCTTGCCAGATTTTAATCTGAGCTTTGTTTTAAAGCTGTCCAACCAGAAACAGCTGGTTTAGTCGGAACTACAACAAATTAGATGATTTCTGCTCTTAAACAAGTCTCTTACACATATATTCATCACAGGCTCCTGAAAATTTGTCATTTAAAGGAATTCTGTATTTTACCTGGTCCCCGAAGGGTTGACCAGGTTTTGTATTCACCCTGTGTGTCTGTGTGTGTGTCTGTGTGTCTGTCCACCTGCAATAATTCTGCCATTTATGGACTGACTGTCACCAAATTTGGTACGTGGGTCAAGCCCCCATGCCCGATGCTGCAAAAAGAAGTTTGGTGATGATCTGAGGTCATTTGAGGTCACACGGGTCAATTGAAAGGTCATGTCATTATAAAGAATTGGCAATTTCGGCAATTTCTGAACTATCTGCAAGCTAAAATATTCACGTTGGCACACACATAACAGAGGGACACTGGGTGTTACAGGTTGAAACTGGTCAAGGTCACTTGACAAGGTAACCAAGGTCAAAAATGCATTTTTGGTCATAACTCTGCGAAGCATTGAGCTAGAGCAACGGGAGTGGTCTCAAAATCTCAAAAAAATTATTACTATTTATAATTCTATGCATTTGTATAGTAAAATATTCATAGTTTTCGAGATAATCACTAATTATAACAGTTCCTTTCTCTTTCAGTGTATGCTGTTAAAATTTTTAATTAGAACAAAAATAATTTCCATTTCTTCCTTTCTGGTGATACACAACACACTGATCTACAGTCACAGAACTAACATATACAGAACTCATGGAAAATGACATTTTCGTTACACACTAGTAACACAGACATTCTCATGTGTGACCAATATCACACAAATGTTCATGGGCCTGTACAGATACACACATTGCATTGTGGATATAACAATCATGTAATATGGGCTGGACTCCTCATAAGCTGCTTCTGTGGTGATGAACTGCCACCACCAATGCCTCAAGGGGGACCAGGTTGCTATCTATGATTGAACTTGTTTCTTGAATTTTCAGACAAATCTTTTAAACTTTTTGACAGTATTTTCTAATGTATGCATTGTGTCCCCATGGTAACTGCTGAACATTCCAAATAGACTGTATTTATAGAACACGCCCAGTGTATTCATTATTTTATGGATTCTACAATGAAGACACATCATGCTTTTCACTGGGAGTCTATTTAGCAGCTCTATTAAACTATAACATATGTCAATTCTCATTGTGAATTTACTAGTAAGTAAAGTATGTCCTTTTATTTCATAATAACAAAAAGTTACTTCAGAGGATTTCCTATTCAAAACCACAGAACTGATTCATAGTCACATTTCCCCAAATATGAAGCAGACTTTCAATGACACATTTCAAAACTGAAAAATTATGATGTGACATTTTTGAGTCCAATATGTGTGAAGTTCTAGGAAGTTTATTTTTTTATACCAGTGGGCGAGGATAGAGGGTAATTGAAAACTGCAATTTTCAGAGCAAAAGCCTAAAGTAACCGTGTAACTCTTTCCTAATCTATTACTTACAAGTGAATAAGAGCTATGAATGTAAAAACTGCCCTTTCCCCCGTTACCCTTGAGGCCCATGTATGTTTCCGTGTTCTCCAGGCAGGAGAAGGAGGCGTGGATCAAGTACAAGTATGTGGAGAAGCGCTTCCTGAAGAAGCTAGGGGGCGCTGCGCTGGTGGAGGCTGAGAGGAAACACCGGCCATGGACAGTGAAGAAGTGTCAGAGGAGCAGCGGCTCTATGCGACGTTTGAACAAAACACGCCGGAAATACAAACGATACGAACCGGGGAGCGTGAACGCTGCTAATCTGTCTGCAGGTAACTATGGCAACAGATTTTGGCCCTCACAGACGCATTATTCATTCACTCCACACTCAGTGATGGTAAGACACTACTGTCTTCACAACTGTCTTGGGACAGACTGACCAGTGAGCCGACCACCATCAACACTTACACACCACTTTGATCTTAGACAAGAAGGGTGAAGTGTTTTGCTAAAGAACAAGAGAACACTGATCAAATCTGGGAGCAAACATTTGGGTTGGTGAGTGGTTGGTGATATGATGTACTATCATATCAGCACAAACAGACCTGGAGTTGTGTTTTGTTTAACACGCAAACCTGCATATTTAGACTAGAGTTCTTCTCTCAAACAGAAATCCCTTTGTTCCACCTTGTGATGTCATGTAGTAATACAGGAAGTGCTCCACTGTGTTTTTAAACTATATACACCTAGAATCCTTTGGACAATTTTAACCCTGGAAAAGAATCTCTACTGAGCTAATTATGGAGCATTTAGAGCTGTAGACAGAGTAATAATAAAAGGTTACTCTATAAACATATGTGAATGAATCAAAACACAACTCCAGGTCTGTTTTTGAGGAGGTAATAGCATTATAACATGGATTAAAAATCTGTTTCTTTTTGTCTTTCAGCCGCTGCAGCAAAATTTCGTCGAGATTCCTTGTTCTGTCCTGATGAGCTGGATTCACTGTTCTCGTACTTTGACACTGGCTCTGGCCCCCGCAGTGAGTCCTTTGTTTCACATAACAGCTGTATTATTGCAGGTGTATTTTGGAGTTTTTGATTTCTTCTTCTCTTCCTCAGGTCCGGCCGGTCTTAGTAGCGACTCAGGGCTAGGGGGCAGCACTGATGGCAGCACAGATGTTTTAGCTTTTGGATCTGTTGTGGACAGCGTCACAGAAGAAGGTTTGTGTTTTTGAGAGAAATAAAATAATTACTAGGGCTGGGTACGTTGACGCGTTAATTTTGTGTCAACTAATTGATTCATTATCGCGACAATTATTTTAACACCATTAACACAGTTTTTATTATTTATAAATTTTTTTATTGTATACGTCTGTTTCTCACTGGCTTTTATTTTGAAAAAGTCCACTGCAAGCGTTTCTTTAAGTTTGACGTCTTTTCTTTACACTTTTTTCACTTTTTTTCTGACCACGTGAGATGCAACATGTCCGAGCCTCGGCCGCAGGCTCCATCCCCGGTCGTGGGCTCGGCTGCGGGCTCCAGCTCTGGCAGCCGGGCTGGTCCGGCCCGGCCAGAGTCCAGTTTAAGGGTCTTTCTTGTTCTTCTACGTCCAAGTAGAGGTGTCCGGTGTGGTTTTCGTCGCTGCGGTCTCACTTACATAATACTTTTACAGGGTATTCATGAAGATCTGGTAGATTTCATGATATGATCCCGCCCATAACTCAATGAAATATGATTGGCTCAGACAACTGTCAATCTCAGACTTCATTACAGTCACCGAAGGCCCTGCAGGAGTTTCTTTAGTTCAGTGCTGCAGGGGGAGTCACTGACTTACCCAGATACCACTGGAATATAAATTGTGATGGGTCCATTTCCATTCCATTATATTAACCCTTTGTGTCCCAAGAAATATCAGTCCAAATTTATAACAATGATCTAGAAATTATTACTAGTGTCGTGTTTATTACTCACTGAATAAAAAATATTGAAAAAATATATTAGTAGTACAAAAATTCATTTAATATTTTTTCTTGAGCCTTCTGAATACCTTGAAGGCTCTGATGGTTCCCCTCTGAAAAAAATGCTGTTTGCACAACAAATGTTTGACTCTTTCATTTACATTTCCAATAAAAGTCACTATACGCTACTTTTTAATTAATTAATTGATTTTGCGTATAACATGTGATTAATCGTGATTAATCGCACTCAAACTCATGCGATTAATGCGATTAATTTTTTTTATTTTTTTTTTTCCCAGCTCTAATAATTACACATGAATAAAAAAAAAACACTACAAAACATTTTGTACAGTGAAGCTTTCTACCATGTTGTTTGCTCATCAAAAACATGCCTGAAGAGGTTTTAGAGGTCATCCATTCATGTCTGAGGACTTTAACATTCTCTCCCAATCCTGTTCAAACTGTAACTGTAATAAAGGTCTACGTGGGACAGATTTTTCAGTCCCGCCAGCACCCGCGTTATGCAGTCCAGCTCCCACCTGCATCTGCGATAAATTGTCCCACTACCGACATTCACTTTCTAAAGCTCTATCAAACACAGAGAAGCGGAAAGGAATTGTTGGAAATGTGCACGAGATTGGACCACATCGGCATATTTAGTCTGCTTAAAATGTTTTTATTAATGCCAAGTAAAATATCTAACAAAAATTATGTGTGATAGACAAACATGAATCATTTGTATATTTTTACTTTATACTCATATTTAGTTTGTGGGACTGTAGTTTATCATCCACCCCGCATTGTGCTTAGGGTTAGGTTAGGTTAGGTTGCTTTATTCGTACCCGTAGGTAAATTTGCTTTGCAGATTTAAGAGACAGGTTCCACATTTCACATTTCATTCATCCACAAAACACACATAAAAACACGATAAAATGTTACAATAAAGTGTTACAGTGCTCCAGTGCAGAATGGTTTGTTCCATAAACAACCAATTAAAATCATCCAACACACTTGTCTAAAATCACAATAAATAAATCTTAAATATGTTAAAAACACACAATCTTAAATAAATAGATTACAATTTATTCATAAGTATGATAGCAGCCGGAATGAAGCTCCTCTTAAAACGATTCGTTCTAGATCTTGGGACTAAAAACCTCTGACCAGAGGGAAGCAGCTGAAACTCTGAGTTTAGTGGATGTTGCACGTCTCCCAAAATACTCTGGGACATCCTCTGTAAGTGTCTCGAGTACAGAGAGTCCAGACTGCTCTGAGGATAGCCAATCACCTTACTCGCCCATTTAACCAACTGATTCAGGGAGTTCTTGTTTTTAGCAGAAATGCTCCCAAACCACGAGACCAATGAAAATGTTAAAACTGATTCCATAAATGTTTTATAAAACAGTATCATCATGGTTCTCTCTACACGGTAAAAGGACAACTTTCTCAGACAATGAAGGCGCTGGTGGCCTCTTTTACACACACCAGAACAATTATCGTCAAAACTCAGTTTTGAATCAATGATTGTTCCTAGATATTTATATGAGTCCACACACTCAACTGTCTGCCCCTTTATCTCTGTGAGATCACACTGAGGCGCTTGTTTTCGAAAGTCAATAATCATCTCCTTCGTTTTGGATACATTTAGGTATAGATTTGACTCTTCACACCATTTTACAAATTCCTCAACAATTGGCCCATGTTGGTTTTCATTTTTGTGAAGCAAGCTCACAATGACAGAATCATCCGCATATTTTATTATTGTTCTATTCTCATAGGTGCTCTGACACTTATTGGTGTAGAGTATGAACAATAGGGATGAAAGAACGCATCCCTGCGGTGATCCGGTTGATGACACCATCTGGTCAGAAAGAACACCATTCACTCTTACTCTTTGTGTTCTCTGTGTTAAAAAATCAAGAATCCACCCCACAATATTAAAATCAAGGCTAAAATGTTCTAAAAGTCTTTTACAAAGAATATGAGGTTGCATTGTGTTGAACGCAGATGAAAAGTCAATAAAAAGTAGTCTTGCATGCGTTCCAATCCCCTCTAAGTGCTTAAAGAGTAGATGGAGTAAAGTTACTGTGGCATCCTCTACTCCTCTTTGAGGCCTATAAGCAAACTGCATGGGGTCAAGCGCACTCACAGTTTTCCTCAAAATTTCTGACCTTACTAGTTTTTTCAAAGTTTTTCATAGCCATTGACGTTAGTGCAACAGGCCTAAAGTCATTAAGGTTTTTGGGTCTGCTCGTCTTAGGAACTGGAACAATCACTGAGTCTTTCCAGATCTTTGGTACTTGCTGTTTCTGCAGAGACAAATTAAAAATGATCTGAAAAATAAAGCTCAGCTCCTTGGCGCAATTTTTAAGAATATGACCACAGATCTTATCTGGACCCATACTCTTTTTTACCTTAGTTGTCTTAAATACACTTTCCACTTGCCTCTGCGAAATGTCACAATGCCGATCTTCGCAGAGCTTACCTTTAAGCTCCTGAACTTCATCATCAAAATCTGAAGTCTCAAACCGAGCATAAAAACAAGTCCTGCTCCCACCTGTGCCCGCAATGTCCAGCGCCACACTGTTTTGCGTCAGGTCCCACGACCCTGCACTCCCTCGGGAGGCTCGCAGTAGTGCAGGGCTCTAAGCTGTAAGATTTGTCCAATGCTCCGCCCACAAGCCTACATCACACACGACAATTCTCCATAAATAGACAAAAACATGACACAAAACTTCAAATTGACAAATCTGTTGTGATGTGCAGTAGTTTCATTTGCGGTATGCACACTGATGGTGTGGTGATAGCACTCTGAAAGGGGAGTGACTTAGTGCATAGAGTAAAGAGAGGGGAGACCCAAAGCCTCAAAATGGAAAGTGAAACTTATAATATGTTAATAGATTGTTTTTTGGTGATATAGCATTTCCAAAATATCTTCCCCCTTTAAGTTGTGTGAGGCGACTGCTCTTGTGATTTTGGGGCTTTACAAAATACTCTGAACTGAATGTGAACATTTCCTGTTGTTTCAGAGGAGGAGTCAGAGTCTTCCAGTGGGGAGGTGGAGATCGAGCAGGAGCCCTCAGACTCAGAGGACCCACGGGAGTTGCACCCAGGTGCCACATTACACCCAGGGGTGCTCCTGCTCCGAGCCGCTCGTCTGCACAACCTCCCGCTGATGGCAGAGTCGTTAGCCCACGGAGCCGACGTGCACACATCCACAGAGGAGGAGGGCAAGACCGCACTCATACAGGCTGTCATAGGGGTGAGATGAAGGGGTTTATTGATACTCTGCAGCTGATACTCTGCAGCTGATGTCATCGATATTCCCGTGGGATGCGATGTTAACTTTAGGCTCTGCTCTGGCTGAAGCTTTATCAATCAGAAAGACCAGAGAGACCTGACCAGAGAGANAAGAAGATCTATTGTGCTTGTGTCTGCTATATAACTATAATCTATGATACCGGTGGATCATTATGTTTTATTTTGAACATTTTAATCTGTAATATTCATCTAAAAATACTGGTTTGTTTGTGGTTTGTTACCCAAAAGAACACTCTTTTCACCCTTCACTAAAAACACTTTAAAACACTGCACTTTTGATCGCACACGGCACTTCAAACATATTTGCACATATTACAAAAAGAAATTGCACACAATTGATTTTAAAATCGTCTTTCTTTTACCACTTTTAATCCTGAGGCACAGTAGCATTTTAATTCAAAGCTGCTGGTCCCTGGAGAAAAGGAGACAGAATTAGCCAATTACCTTTTAAACTGAATTAGTGCAATATAGATATGATGCAGTATATCTGTTTGGGAATGTTTTAAGTGTTGATGTGTGTGGTACTGTATTTTATGGTGTTTTAATGAATGGTGTGATTTGTTTTTTTTACTTACCTCCTTTTATCTTCTGTCCAGGTCCCGAAAGAGTCCCCCAGGTATGAACTCCCACTTTTAAGGTTGCGAGCTGTGTATTATAGTGTACAGGGGTAGTAGGTTAGGTGTTTTATTGTTTTAAGGGTTATAAAGTTTTAATTTGTGTATGGTTTTAGCAGCGTCCCTCCATTTTGCACCCTGCATTTTTTGAACTTGCACTTTTTTGTGATGATTGAAAACAAAAACAAAAAAGTAAACTGTGGACCACTTCACGTCTTTGTCTGGATTTTTTTAAACCTTACTCACTGAACCCCAACCAGCTCACAGTCAACCTACATCACAGTGACAAAAGAAAATGGCAAAAGAAACAAATCCACTGACTCACACTTTAGAAACATGCACATGCTTTAAAGGTCATCACAACGAAGAGCTGTGAAGTTGTCAACATCTCCTAAGGGTAGCTGCTCATCACTCAAGCGTGCAGAACATTTATTTATTTTTTACCAAAATTACTACGCGACGCTAATGAATCCGTGTGTCACCAATATAAGAAAATTAAATGGGACAACAAAGTAAGTACAGAGCAGTGGATGTATGCCAGTGGCTGTGAAAAAGAGGATTGATCGACAGTGTGGCGTCTTGAAGAAAAGTGATCAAAGAGCGCTCAAACATGCACAAATGACTCCAGGTACAACTTCGGGTAAGTAAATGGTGACGGCAAACACCCATAATATAGTTAAAAACTATTTAAAAAAATCTATTTTGCACAATAGATCTGCTTTAAAAACAGAACTAGTGCATTTCAAACTTTTTGTAATGGCCCAAACTTATTCCTCACTAGCTTCCAAATTATTCACTTCATTGAGTTTATTAAAGTTTTTCACAACATTCAGAACCAGAGCTGAGTTTTGCTATCTGATTTGCGTAGGATAAAAATGCGTTGTGATTTGATGCAGATAGCACACAGCAGTCTCATTTTGACCCTAATAGCTACAATATAATATAATACAATGTACTGTGGTAAAACAATGTGTTAGGTTGAATGAAAAACGAACGCTTGAGTCCCTTTAAATCACCAAAATAGGCAACTTATGGTTTGGTTTAATAATAGGCTATTATGAAGTCCTGTATGAAACAAAAGCTGATTGACTGTCTCATTAACTTGTAACCAATGCATGGAAAAAGTGAAAGACTATAATTCAAGGTATTAATTGCCAAAAGAGGTTTAAGCCCCAACAGACACTGCAAGTTTTTGGATCAACAGAGAAGTTAGTGATACTTTTCAGCTGATGTCATCAATATTCTCTGGAGGTGTAATGCTAACTGTAGGCACTGCTCTATCTGAAGCTTGCCAGATTTTAATCTGAGCTTTGTTTTAAAGCTGTCCAACCAGAAACAGCTGGTTTAGTCGGAACTACAACAAATTAGATGATTTCTGCTCTTAAACAAGTCTCTTACACATATATTCATCACAGGCTCCTGAAAATTTGTCATTTAAAGGAATTCTGTATTTTACCTGGTCCCCGAAGGGTTGACCAGGTTTTGTATTCACCCTGTGTGTCTGTGTGTCTGTCCACCTGCAATAATTCTGCCATTTATGGACTGACTGTCACCAAATTTGGTACGTGGGTCAAGCCCCCATGCCCGATGCTGCAAAAAGAAGTTTGGTGATGATCTGAGGTCATTTGAGGTCACACGGGTCAATTGAAAGGTCATGTCATTATAAAGAATTGGCAATTTCGGCAATTTCTGAACTATCTGCAAGCTAAAATATTCACGTTGGCACACACATAACAGAGGGACACTGGGTGTTACAGGTTGAAACTGGTCAAGGTCACTTGACAAGGTAACCAAGGTCAAAAATGCATTTTTGGTCATAACTCTGCGAAGCATTGAGCTAGAGCAACGGGAGTGGTCTCAAAATCTCAAAAAAATTATTACTATTTATAATTCTATGCATTTGTATAGTAAAATATTCATAGTTTTCGAGATAATCACTAATTATAACAGTTCCTTTCTCTTTCAGTGTATGCTGTTAAAATTTTTAATTAGAACAAAAATAATTTCCATTTCTTCCTTTCTGGTGATACACAACACACTGATCTACAGTCACAGAACTAACATATACAGAACTCATGGAAAATGACATTTTCGTTACACACTAGTAACACAGACATTCTCATGTGTGACCAATATCACACAAATGTTCATGGGCCTGTACAGATACACACATTGCATTGTGGATATAACAATCATGTAATATGGGCTGGACTCCTCATAAGCTGCTTCTGTGGTGATGAACTGCCACCACCAATGCCTCAAGGGGGACCAGGTTGCTATCTATGATTGAACTTGTTTCTTGAATTTTCAGACAAATCTTTTAAACTTTTTGACAGTATTTTCTAATGTATGCATTGTGTCCCCATGGTAACTGCTGAACATTCCAAATAGACTGTATTCATAAAACACGCCCAGTGTATTCATTATTTTATGGATTCTACAATGAAGACACATCATGCTTTTCACTGGGAGTCTATTTAGCAGCTCTATTAAACTATAACATATGTCAATTCTCATTGTGAATTTACTAGTAAGTAAAGTATGTCCTTTTATTTCATAATAACAAAAAGTTACTTCAGAGGATTTCCTATTCAAAACCACAGAACTGATTCATAGTCACATTTCCCCAAATATGAAGCAGACTTTCAATGACACATTTCAAAACTGAAAAATTATGATGTGACATTTTTGAGTCCAATATGTGTGAAGTTCTAGGAAGTTTATTTTTTTATACCAGTGGGCGAGGATAGAGGGTAATTGAAAACTGCAATTTTCAGAGCACTCAAGCCTTAAATACAGGATGACTAAAACGTGCATGAATCTATTGAAAGACAAGTTGAAAGAGGTATATGTGAGGGAACACCGTTGTCACATGGTTTAAAAGTCTATTTTACATAACATGTCCCCTTTAAACTCCACATTCTGAACACTTTGATAAGTTCACAGCCCCCCTACAGTTTCAGTCCCATATAGACCTATAATATGTATGCCATGGTGTAGTCTGCGTCACAGGAGATGTTCTGATCTTTTATGCATTTGCTTTGGACAGTCTCCAGCTCCCGTCACCGCATCACTGTAGATATGAATGTTTAATGTATATGTCTATCTTACAAGGCTGAGCTGCTTCTCCCGAGTTCCGAAGACTGAAGGAAGTAGACTGCACTGACTGAAAAAGACTTAAAGGAGAAGAAACCAAGGAACAGTCAGATGCCAATCAGGGAATAACCAGAGGCCAGTAAGTGACCAACCAGGAACTAAGACTAACCAAGGGATAATCTGGGACCATGCAGGGACCAACCAGGGACAAACAAGAGACCAGTTAGAGACAGAAACTATAAAGCCAGTCAGGTACTAACCAGGGATCAACCAGGGACCAGTCAAGAACCAACCAGAGACCTACCAAAGACCAACGTATACCAAGCAGGGATCAGCCAGAGACCAACCAGAGACAAGTCAGGGACAAATCAGGAACCAACCAGGGACCAACAAAGGACTAGTTAGAGACAGAAATTATAGGGCCAGTCAGAAACCAACCAGAGACCTACCAGAGACCAGTATAGACCAAGCAGGAATCAGCCAGAGACCAACCAGAGACAAGTCAGGGACCAGGTAAAGACCAACCAGGAACAAACCAGGGACCAACCGGACACAAGTCAGGGACCTGCCAGGGACGGGTCAGGGGTCAACAACAATTTGGTAAAGTTCTTTAAAGCTACCGCTGTTGGATTTTTGGCTCCAAAAAGTAAATTGAACTGAACCCCTGAAATTATTTGCCTGGAATCCATAATACACACTTCTCCAATACTTCCTGTATAAAAAATACAGAGAGATATTATTCTCGACTTACCAGGCAATAAAATTCTCAAATAATGTTGTGCAAACTCACCTGGTCTCTGGTCAGGTATTGCAAGCTCAAACACAGTTGGAACAGGAATTTTCAATATCCCCTGGTTGTTATTTATTACACGTTGGGAAAATCTGTTTCATATTTACAAAGTTATGCAAATTTAAAATCCTCTGTGGTTTATTTTGATTAACAAATAATTAAATGCAAATTAGTGATTACTTGTGTGACAGAGCTTGGTTTTATAAATACAATATTATTTAGCAAAAACAGCATGCGACAGGTAAGTAGAGCAGGGCCCATATAATAATCCTCAGATAACATGTCCTTCTTATGTAAGGTAATGTTCTATTATCTATGCCCGACCTCATAATCGCTCATGTACAAACCCTATGCATGCGCTGCAGAGAGTGTTGCACATGCAGGCACAGCTAGGCCACAGTTGGACATAGAATACCACCATCAATCACTGTCACCATCCCTGGAGACTGAGGGGGGGGGGGGCGAGGGGGGGGGCCGTCGGTATGGGGGAGGGACATGGGCGAGGTCAAGTGTGTGTGCGGTGTCCACAGGGAGCCTAAGAACCAGAGGAGAGGAGACAAAGCCATTGGTCCTGAACAGGGCCTGAGCATCTGTGTGTGTGAGCTAAAAGAGACAGATGGGTGATGTGACTGCATGAAAGGGCTGCATAAAATATAAATTAGTTAGAGTTAGAGTTAAAATTACAAGAATTTAGAACATTCCAAATTCAACTTGTTGTAAAAGGAGCTCTCAGTACACAATGAACTGCAAGTGGCAAGTGTGCTAATTCACGTGAAGTGAAATATGAAATTTTGACAAATCACTCAAAAAGTTATTTGATTTTGCTTCTTTTTTCAAAACAAAATTGTCTGTGGAGTGACAACATTGTACTGGAAATCAAATATAAATAGCCTCAATGAGAAAATGAAATACAGTCTTATAAAAATATACATACACATACATCATATCGCAAAGTTTATGTCAAAAATAATAAAAAATATAGAGTAATATAAAGCTAATTTCTCTGATAGACTATACTCAAGTTTATTCTTATGTTATTAGGCAGCACTGTATCAGTCAAGGCTATGGTGACATGTCATTCTTATATGTTCCTGTTTTAAAAGATTGTTTTAAAGCCTACTGTAAACAATAGAAGGACTTCAGTGAGATAAGATATTATGAGTGAAAGTAACAGACAGTTATGGTTCAGTCTCTTGTTTCAACAGTTAACAGCCTTATCTTGTTTCCAGACAATTGCAGAACCCCTAAAATAGAATTACCAATAATAACCATAGTTTTGTAATGCGCATGTGCTATATATTAGTGCAATATAAAATAATCTCTTTTGTGCTTTTATTTTTTATATTTTCACATAAAATGTCTAAAATATGTACTTTTTCATTATAATGACCAGCAACAGTGTTTGTTTACAGCAGTGTGAGACGCTCTGGGGGGGCGGGGTTTAAGGTGGCGTTGGACCAATCGCTGCCGCCCTTCTGCCCGAACAAGGCCAGGGAGGCGGGACTTTGCCAGGTTTCAGCCAATCCGCGGCGCCCTTGCTCACTGCAGGGAGAAGTTAGCCGTGCTCCGCCAGTCTGCTCCGAAGCCACGATGGATGCTATACCATGCATTTTGCTCGTCCTTCTCTTCGGGGCGAGCATACACGAAAATTCCGGTAAGTGACCTGATTAAACTGAGCAAGTCGGTTTACGCTTTTGTCGCTTCCGCCAAAGTTTGACCCGTGGATTTGTCGTGTTGGTGGGGAAAAGCTCTTTGTTGGAGAGGCAGCCCGAGTGGAACTAAGATGGCGCAGGTCCGCGGGCTGCCTGCCGCTGCCTGTCTGAGGAATGTTTATTGTCTGCTAAAAGGCGAGCGGCTAAAGTCACACTGGCCCCAAGTGGACCATAGCCCGGGGCTCACTTTACTTTATGATCCCAAATCTTCTTGTCAAACTCCCCCCTTTTGCTCGTTTTGTCGCCTGAAAAAGATTGTGCACATCGGACTACTTTCTCGCTGTCAAGATTACAAAGTTTAGCTGTTGTGATTTACTTTGCTTTTATGGGTAATTCTTTATTATTGTAACTTTAGCTGGACAAAATATGCATAGTTGAAAGGTGTTTGTCAGTCGATTGCTTCTGATTTATACTTTCCAAACGCCCCATACGAAATTCCGTTATTCGCTGTCCACCGTGCGTAAAATCCATTCTTATGAAATTGATGGGATTGCACTATAGTTTCGAAGTGTTCTTTTTCGCTTTTACATACTGGCATTTTGTTGTATTAGGTTAAAACACAGAAGAATACACTAACATGAAGGAGCTGATAGGCCCACTACTCGTGATCACCAAAATTTAGGGGGACAAAGTCTGTCTGGAGGCATTGTGAAATAACCAGACTGCGCGTACTACAAACTCTCCATGACCACGTTCCTCGCGTTTTGGAAGGTACTGAATTTGGCCTTCCAACGTGGTGCTACGTGAACTACCCCTCAGCCCATGAATCCGCACTGGGGACGCCTCTACTCTTGGCTACGATCGCTCCCTGTAGTAAGAATTGTTGCACGAATGGGCAGGAGCTAAAAGGATTAGTGTGGAACTGATTTCATTCATGCCCACTGCGCTATAGACTCCGGGGCAGAGTTAGGAGTTAAATGCATGCGTTGTGGCTTTTTACGGTCACTGATAAAACCCCATCACCTCGGAAGAATGCTAGATTGGTTCCATGTTGATTGCTTCTCATTAGTGGATACCAATAGGCTTCCATTTCCTCCGCACCGCCCAGTCTCTTTATGCTGAGATTGGAGTCCGTGGTTCGGTTTTGGCAGCTAGACCCAACAAGCACAATAGATAACCAGTCCAGAAATATGCATACCTTTTATATGTTTGTATGTTTTATTATGGACCATCACGTTTCTTTGTGTCACATTCCTTTGTGTTGGAAAAGCAGGCAGAGGGAGCGCATCGTGAGGAGCTGAGCACGCTTCTTCATCAAACGGCATTCATAAGCGGGCTAAACGGGGCCACCTCATGCCAAAAGCAGCGTGGTGTCCTCGGATACCCCCTGCCTGCACACTCGAGCTGCTAAAAATTGATATGTCGGCTCTGGGACACACACTGAGAGGAAGGGAATTCCGCTTTCTTTGTGTGGGAATGGGATTGTCATGGCGTGGCTCTGCGGACGGAGAAGGAAAAGCAAGATTTTTGATCCGAACGTGCACTATATGTTGTTGGTGTAAAACGCAGTGAGCATGGCAGAGGAGTGGGTTGTGGTACTGGTCACACCCTGCAGCACCATTTAGAATCACGGTTACTAGTGCGAGAGCTGCGGGTCTAAATTGGGTCCTGTCACTACTGCTGTGTTCACTGCAGCCCCCAGCCCCTGATAGGCTGCCACTCCCCCCACCCTTCACTTTGATTTGTCCGTGCGCTATTCTTCCCAGGCCCGTGCCCCCTCCCCAGCTCCGGACGGTGTTGTAAGTAAACACATCGCACTTAGCTGGAGAGCAGAGCCATAAAGGACAAGTGTAGTGTCAGCAGCTGGAGCCTCTCTGTCACAGAGAGTCCATCAGTGTGTAGATCGGAGGAGACGGGTCTGCAGAGCTGTGTTAGAGGGGCTGGGGACTTCATTGGCTCTTGAGAGTGTACCTGAACAGCTCATGGTCAGGGAGTATAAGGAGATGATGAGGCTTTCTGCTGCCTGAAATGAGCCATATAAGTCTATAGTGCTTCACAAGAATGAGAACGACAGTGTTCCCACAAAGAAATAGTTGGACTCAAACTAGTTGTCCATACCGGATAACTGTCATAAAAAGAATTAGTCAACTAGGGATGAAGCAAGTTAAGATTCATCGCAACTAATCAGAATTAATTTAGACAGTGAGTAATTGTTTTCTGGATTCCAAACATGCATGCAAACATGAGAGAAGAGGCTTTATGAGTTAGACAAAGCTGTATGCATTAAAATGGCACAGGAAATATCCTTTTAGTGGTTTTGTAAATAACCTATTTTGTCTATGACTGTAATACATCAGGATAGCCTCAAGTGGTAACATTTTCAAAACTTTATCTGGATAATCGCCAGATGAATTGAGAAATTAAATAACCATTTATTGCAGCCCTGTTATTGGTCATGAAAGTTCAGCTAAGATGACATCAACCAATTGACTGACCTATTAGAGGCATGCATTTGTAATTCTCTAATTTAAGGCCTGTGAACAGCGTATTTTCTGTACACTTATGTAAAATTATTGCTGCCAAAAATAAACAAATAGCTTGGATCTAAAAAAATGGTTTGTTGAGTTTGTATGTAATGTCATGCTTTTCTTTGCAAAGACCAGGTTGTAGATTTAAAAAAAATATATAAAAAATCGATATTTTTGTTGAAGGATACTCAAACGGACACAGAATGGAATTCACCAGTTTTAAAACCATTTGTAATCAGCCAAATAAAGCTGAGACAACTTAAGGCTATTTCTCAACAAATGTGTGGCATTGTCATTTCTGCTCCTTTTTTGTTTGTATTTCATAGAAACCGGAAGCTGAGCCCAGGCTGATCTTCTCAAGGCCACTGGCTGCTTCCTCATGTGCTCTCTGTTGTTTAGCTGCACACTGATAGCGGCCCCTGGGAGCCTGCCCTCTCAGCTCTCCTCTGTGGGGCCGTGTGAGGGGCGCTTGGGGGCCCATTGTTTCTGTGCAATGCTTGTTTGTGGCTCTGTGCTGTGTGTGTGGAGGAATGCCATGCATGCAGGTGACCGCTCTGCTCGTTGTCCAGACCTGTGCAGCCATGACTAATGTGAGAGGATGTACTGGTGCCATTGACCACAGCGCAGAGGGGCAGTGATGTGTGAACAGGCGCTCCCCTCTGAACTGGACTGGACTGTTAGGCACACTGTTTAGGCATTTACAGGCAAATGACAGCGCTGCTATTTCGATGCCTATGGGCTAGTCCTGAATCAAGGTAGCTTGTTTAGTCCTCATAAAAATAAAAGGCCATTCTTCCAACAGGGCTCTCCAATAAATCTTGGCAAAAGGGCTAGCAAACAAAACGACAGACAATATTTCAATGACACAAGGTCGTTGAAACATTTTTCTTAATACTGAAGTCACTCACTGAGTGATTGTCAATTGCGAAGTTTCCACTGTCTCCTTTAGGGCTGTTGCAGCTCAGAGTGCCCTAAAAACTAAATCTGCAAACATGCTCTGTACCAGGGGCTGTGGTTCATGTGGTCTATGTGATATAGTGTTTGCAACAACAGCTGGGCACTCCACACACATTCAAGAGACCCAACAGAGTAACTTTAGTACACAATGCAGACTTAACCCCTCATTACTACTAACTAGGGATGTAATGATATGCAAATCTTACTGTACAATATTGTGTCTGATTATGAAATGAAAATTGTGAAAATATTTATTGTGCTATATGCCAACAGAATGGAAGATTTTTTCCTTTGTAAAAAAGCCTTGACAAGCCTTTGGTGCTACATTGCTGACTGGCACATAATTAAGAAGGATAGGTTCTTTATTCTTTCTAGTTATTTCTTCGTACTATCTGCATTGAATGGAATAAAAGGTCATGGTTCATGTAGTTCTCCTTTTTCCCTTTTTTTTAAACTGTTGCAGCAACAAAAGAATGCATTTGAGCAAAGGAGTGTCTGATATGATATATTCTGACAGCCCACGATATTCCTTTGAGACCTTTGACGATCCAATGTCACATTTCAGTTATTGTTACATCTTTACTACGGACTGCAGCTACACAAATGACACCGCATCTACCTCACTTGATCTTTGTTCATCTCATTCAGGTTCTTTTAGCTACAGCTGCTCACGTGTAACTTGCTAGCAGTAAACCCTATCTCTTTAGCTAAATGTAAACGCAACCCAAGAGAAGCAACGCGTGAGAACTGTGCAGGTGCTAAACCGTGACAGAGCCCAGAGCTTTGTTACATTTATTTTGAAGGAACTAAATAAAACTCTTAAGATAACAGGAGCCCTGTGAGGTGAAACATTTTGCTGGTGCTGGTTGAGGTTTGTAAAGAGGCAGGGACATTTCTGTTTCTCAGGAGTGACTCAAGTGTGGAAGTGCCACTGTGTTTCTCACACTCAGGAGCTGATACGGCTGGGTATGTGATGAAAAACCTGAATCTTAACTTGTTTTAACCCATATCTGAAGTTTAAATCATGTGGTTGATATAATAATAATGGAGAATTGAATTCATTGGGACCTGATTGTCCTCAATGAGTGTGTACAGATTTCTAGCCCCCCCATTGTGCACACTTGCACACTTGCTGTATGGATGAGTGTGTGGCAGCTGTCTGTCAGAAGCTCGGGTTCATTTCACTGCTCTTTCTCTGTTTGGGGAGTGTTGTGGTGAACCTCTCTTGTCCCATGTGATGTGATGATCAAGATGGACAAGCTGCAGCTTGATGTTAGAAGGGATCGGCGATGTCATAATATTGATTGATTGTAGGGTTGGGTTGCCTAGGATATCCATTTGTATAAAAAATACAAAGGAATATAATTCTGGATTTGCTGGGAAAAGGGTTGGGTGGTTATAGCCATGAAAACAGAATTGCGATTTGATCTGACAATCTGCAATTTTGGTCATATTGCGATTCACTATTTCTCCATTTAAAGCAGTTCAAACATGGACACTTTTTTTCCCCGCCGATT